CAACCTCAACCATCTACCACCCAGCAACCTCAACCATCTACCGCCCAGCAACCTCAACCATCTACTCCTCAACAACCTCAACCATCTACTCCTCCAACGAGGTCCACAAGGGCAAGACCACCCCCCGGCTACTATGCGACCCTAAATGAGGGCCAGACGGCTGCCCTAACGATGGAGAATCTGTTGGAGGCGTCAGAGGTGGACCTAATGGATGAAGAAAATTATCTTCACCTTGCTTTGGCCGCAGCAGAGCCAGAACCCACCCTACAGCAGGCCCTAAATGGTCCAGACGGCGTTGAATGGCAGGAGGCGGTGGACTATGAGATAAGTCAGTTGGAGAAGCTAGGTACGTGGGAGGTAGTGGACCCACCTCGAGGCGCCAACATCATACCGTGCCATTACGTCCTGGCCACTAAACGCAGACCGGACGGCGAAAAGCTGAAGCTGCGTGCCCGACTCGTGGCGAACGGGCAGAGGCAGAAGTTTGGGGTCGACTACTTCGACACTTTCGCCCCCACAGCCAGCATGATAACGATCCGGATGGTCCTAGCGATGGCGGCTCAGCGAAACTGGGAAATACACCAGGTAGATATAAAAAGTGCTTACCTGTACGCCAGCATCCAGGAAGAGATATACATGCGCGCCCCGCCCGGCTACTTGAAGGAGGACCAGCGTGGAAAGGTGTTGCGGCTGAGGAGGAGTTTGCCTGGCCTGAAACAGGCAGGATTCGAGTGGGCCAAAGAGCTATCGGGCGTGTTCCTAGCGCTGGGCTTCAGCAGGTCCAAGGTAGATCAGGCGGTGTACTATAAACGTACCTCCAACGAGCACATGGTCATCACGGTGTCCGTGGACGACATGGCCGTAACGGCGAACGACGTCGCCCACATCCAGCGCTTCAAGTCCCAGCTCCAGTGACACTTCGAGATAAGTGATCTGGGAGAACTAAAATGGCTGTTAGGACTGAAGGTGACGAGGGATAGGAGGGCACATACCATCACGCTATCGCAAAGGGCGTACGTCGCGACCATCGTCGAACGTTTTCGCTTGGGCAACGCCAAGAATGTGCAGACTCCAATGGAGTCTACAACGACCCTGTCAGTAGAGCAAGGACCCGCTACCCACGCCAAAATTCAAGACATGCGGGACGTACCATATCAAAGAGCCATTGGCTCGCTGATGTACGCGGCCACCAGCACGCGGCCGGACATTGCATTCGCGGTCGCGACGCTATCCCAGTTCATGAGGAATCCCGGTAGGGCCCATTGGGAAGCTGCAAAGCGGGCCCTACATTATTTGAAGGCAACAGATGACATGGAACTTACTTTGGGAGTCACAGACGCTGGCCTGGAAGCCTTCGTCGATGCAGATTGGGCGTCCCAGCCCCACCGACATTCGATGTCGGGATACGTCGTCATGTTCAACGGCGCACCCATAGCCTGGAGTGCGAGGAAGCAGCCGTTAATAGCGTTGTCGACGGCAGAAGCTGAATATATCGCACTTACCAGTGTGGTGCGCGAACTCCTCTTCCTGCAGCTCCTCATCGCCGAACTCTACGACACCCCGAACCTGCCAATCCCCATACACTGCGATAATCAAGCAGCCATTGCGTTAGCATCGAACAGGAAGTTCCAATCAAGGACGAAGCACATTGACTTACGATATCATTTTGTCCAAGGGCACATCAAGAGCGGTGTCTTCAAGCTTCTCTATTGTCCCACAGACGACAACGTCGCCGATGCCTTTACCAAGGCACTACCGCGTCCCAGACTGCAGAGGTTGAGGGGAATGATGCGTTTGGATAGCGCTCGAGGGGGAGTGTTGAGAGCCAAAGAACCCGAGGACGGAAAGGCCGATAGAGGAGGATATGGGACTACGGCCAAAGAGTAAGAGTCTGTTCGGCCACCAATATTTGCGCCAGTTTACGCAGGTTTAGAATCTATGTTTTGCTTTCATAATCATAGGACCGTGCTGGTCACAGTGTGACCATCAATCAATACTAAGTAGTAGGCATGCCTGTTACCCGTCTACAATCTATCCATCATCGCAACTCTTACAGGATGTCTCGGGGCAGAAAAAGTGCCCGTGGTGGTGCAGAGCTAACAGAAGCGAGAGATCGGTGTGTGTGGACGGAGGCAGATGAAACCATCCTCATCCAGTATGTCACCACCAACCGCTCACAAGGTGGTGATGGTATGAACTTTGATCACACATTTTGGGTTGCTGCTGCCACTGAAATGGAAAAACACCCCTGCTTGGGTGCAAGCAAAACAGCGGCAGCATGTCAATCAAAATGGGGGCGGGTATGTACTACTACTATATCAGCCTTGGTACCCTCACTAATGATCAAATTTCAGCTCCGTGGTACATTCAACGTCGTCGACAAAGTGGCCAACGCTTCCGGACTATCTTACAGCATGGAACGCGGAGCTTCGATCACCCCAGAGTCCAAAAACATGTGGACCGACTTTGTGAAGGTAAAGTGATTTCAATTCGCATCAAACTACTACGACAATGCTAATTACTATGAATCAATAGAAAAATCCAAAGGCCAAAGGCCTCTGGGACAAGGGTTGGAAGCACTATGAGGCGCTGAAAGGTCTCATACCTGTCAAGTCAGGTAACAACAACTCGTTCTTTGCCACCATCGCGACACAACCTCCCATCATTCCTTCGCCTTCTTCTAGCAGCGCAGCCACCCCCCTTTCTTTTGATGAGGTCCATATGATGGACCTTGGAGATGCGCTCGATGGGATCGAGTTCCCCGGCTCTGTTTCAGGCGGCCAGCGCGCAACCCCCCTCACCCCAGAGAGCCTCCCTCCATTCGATGCCGCACAGCAACCCTCCCTTGAGTCGGTCTGTGTTAGTGCGCCATCATCAACAGCTTCCGGTAAACGGAAGCTGATTGATGATGATGAAAGTACGCTTGATATCGTTACCCGCCCCCCACATTCAACGAAATCGGGAGACTCGGCGAAGTCTGCACGCCTGACGATGCCTGTGGCCATCCAGCAGATGGGGACCAGTATTGGCGGTCTTAACACAACGTTCAAGCGCGAGCGCGCGGCCAATGCTCTTGAGGCCAACACCTCCAACACCTTGGCACGATCAGTAGATCCCATCCCTTTGCGCAGGCAGAAGGCGGTGAAAAAGTTGCAGAGTGAGGGTCTAGAGGACATACAACTACTCAATATCTTGAATAAATTTCAGACCGACATCGCTATCATTGATATTTATCTTGCTATTGAGGTAGATAGTCTTCGGCGGTTGTTTTTAGAGCAGCATTCAAAGTAGTGTTACATGGATTCTTGTTGTGTCATGTTCTCTTGTATTGTACTTGTAGTAGCAAAGCAATATCACTATTTCTATAGATCATAGTCATTGATGAGGATCCAGTCTTAATCTGACAACAATGTCATCATTTGACGGAGATACTTTGGATCATAGTCATCGATGAGGATCTGGTCTTAATCTGACGACAATGTCATCATTTGACGGAGATACTTTGGATCATAGTCATCGATGAGGGTCCGAATGGCTATGGTATTAACGCGACTACAGTACTAGTGGTTCTATGATTGCCTGCTCCCCCCTCTGAATCCTTTCCCTGTTGTAGGCCTCCCACATCTCACTAGCAATCTGGTCACGACGGAGGCTCGCACGAGTGCGTGCGTGCTCAGTAGGAGGACCGTTAGCAAGGTTTCCAGTGTCAGTGAGAATGTGCGCATCTAAGACATTACGATAGTCCATCATGTCGTTTGGATCGTGAACTCGAATAACGTTGTGCACGAGACACAAGGCAGGAGGAATGCGCGCTTGAATGTCCATTTTGTACTCTGGTGGGAGGAGAAGGATACGAAATCGGCACTTGATGACACCAAAAATGCGCTCAACAGCATTTCGAAGCATTGCATGACGCAAATTGAAAAGTTCTTTGCGATTACGAGGCCTATGTAACAATGTGAACATAAGTATGAATGGTACTAGCAGAATGCATCATACAAAGTATTAGCACGACCCCACTCTGCAAGATGATAATGCACGCCCCGAAACGGGACCAGAAGCTCATCACACGAGCCAAAACCAGCGTCCGCAAGATAATACTTTCCCTCAGGGATATTGAAATCGGTAGTACGAGCATCGTGATAGACACGAGCATCTGCAGCTGACCCCTCCCAACCGCTCAACATGTAGGTAAATGAAAGGTTGAATGAACATGCCGCGAGGCAGTTTTGAGAGAAGTTCCCCTTGCGATCCCGAGCGGCATGCCGATCTTCACCAAAAGGATGGCATGCGATGTGTGTACCGTCAATGGCTCCAATAGCGTCAACAAAGAACGGGAAGAACTTCGGGTTTTTCGTGATTTCGGGGGGAGGAGGGCTATCTACATCGGGCAGGCGGACATATGTCGTATATATCGGTGGCGAGGAGAATGCGAAAAGAACCCGTTTAAAATACCTGAAAGAACATAAGCTTGATACCAGGACAGCAACAATATACGTACTTTGATATTGTCTCGTTGGACCGCTGGAAGCGTTCACCAAGATGGCGAATCGAGAGACCCGTGACAGACGCATAGAGAAATATAGCAAGCTGCTCTTCGAGCAGTACATGCCTGGAATCTCTGCAACCTGCTTGCCGAAGGAGATTGATGAGCACATAGAAAACATGCTTGTGGACCCCAAGCTCGCATCTGATGCGTTCAGGGTGTCCAGTGAGAAGTTCGGTGACCCATGCAGTCCCCGACAAAGTGGAGGTATGATACGGTTCTTTGTCGTAGTAGGTGTTTGAGTAAGCTTCGAGCGCGGTAGTTGTTGCGTTGAGGACTGTAATGACCGTGCGCATAGCATGCATGGCCATCTGCATGATGCATGCCAGATATCTCTTATCACTCTCCTCTGCATCTTGGTCCATCTCCTCTGCCTCCACAAGGTTGTATTCGTCCTCGTTAGCGTCCTCGTCATAATCAGGATCAAGAGGCATTGTATTGATAGTAGGACAAGGCATACGGTAAGCGTTATCGGAGCGTGACATCTTGTTCAAGCTCCGACGATTAGCAAAGCCAGAACCAAATTCTAACTTGCGCAAATAACGCAAATAATGGTGGCCGAACAGACTCTTACTCTTCGGCCGTAGTCCCATATCCTCCTCTATCGGCCTTTCCGTCCTCGGGTTCTTCGGCTCTCAACATTCAGCCTCCTCCTTGGCAGCATTGGCCGTCTTTACTTGCTCTTCTGCCACTTTTTTCGACACGTTGGCCGCCTTCTGGGCTACAGTCGCCCTCCTCCTCTCCTCATCGGCAGCTTCCTGTAGTCTCTCGGCCTGCTCCTGGGTAGCCTGGACGTCTCGTTTGGCTTGTTCTTGTACAGCGGCAGTTCGCTTACGTTCCTCCTCTGCTTCCACTGCTTTTTGCTTCGCTTGTTCATTAGCGGTATGGGCAGCAGCTTCTGCCAGTAAGCGGGCATCATTGGCAGCCTGTGCAGCCTGGACCACCGCCTCCATTTCCCTACGGGCCTGATCCTGTGAAGCTACCGCAGCTTGCTCAGCGGCCTGTTGAGCCGCCATAGCCCTTTCCTGCGTTTCTTGATTCGACCTGATGAGCTCGGCGATCTGTGCTCTGGCAGCATCAGCATCATCTCTGGCTTTCTCAAGAGCCGTCTCTGCTTCCAGGAGTCCGTCTATTCTGACGATGAGTTGACTACAATTTTTGAGCAGATCCCAACATCTATCTTTGGACAGACTCCTGGGCCAAAATTTATCTTCGGGCAGACTCCCTGCGGACAGACTCCCAAATGTATCTTTGGACAGACTCCAAAATCGCCCAATTGTATCTTTCGACAGACTCCAGAATCTGCAAAATCGATCTTTCGACAGACTCCAAAATATATCCTTTAGAGCTCCCATCTCCGAATTTGCACAATAATGGTAATGCGTAACCCTGTTGATGATGACGTCGCACGATGCTCCCGTCTCTTGAGCTGAGAAAACTTACTGATACGCGTATGGTTTGGAAAGAACCATCAGCTAAAAGCGCTACTCAGAGCAAGTCCTGTGGATTTCAAGATGAGAGCGAAGAACAACCATACAATATAATTTGAGGCGTCTTATATTGTCCCACGTGCAGACCAAGAGAACGACGGAATGCGGCTAACCCAGGGCTATGGGTTGTTTCACATGGATAAAAGTGCGTGAAGTGTGACCAGAAGGCAACGAAGTCATAGAACGGAACCTGATGCATGATGAAGCTTAAGAAGGGAGGACGTCCTGTGCATGGAAGTAGGGAATGAGTACTTGAGTTACGAGATCACATTGAATGATTGTATATGCCCAAAAGTGTCTACATTAGACACGTTAGCATGATGTGGTGGGTGCGACATGCATCAGCTATTGTGAGATACAGGGGGGTCATTTCATCTAACACAATCATATCAGCTTCAAGCTCCATCAAAAAGTCAATTCTGCGAGCGCTCAGCGTAGATCATCATCAGCAGGAAATTGCAGTCGACTGAGACGACAATAGCCCACCAGGTGCCTTCATCAAGAGGAAGGTGTTAAAGTACAACCATTATACTCGATCGTCTGGACCACACACCTTAAGCCCGCAATCCTCCTCGTTCTTAGGGCGTGTGGAGTTACGCATCTGAAGAAGAAAGTGAATGGGCCCTGGAACACGGGTCTCAACGGTATACGATTACGTTACCGGATCTCAGCCTTCGGTTACTGGCAAATTAAAAAATTCGGTCACGATACTTGCGTTACTTACGCCAACCAATTGAACTCCTAGTGGTATACGAAACTACGACCAACAAGGATTACCCTCAACTTTCCGTTTCAGACTCTCCTAGCGGAAAGGTCCAGCGGTAGATTGTTACCATCTGCATTCGAAGCTGGGGTGATTAGCCTGTTGACCACAGGTCTTGACATGCTACGTGAACCCCTACTACCGGAGTCAACAACTACACACAATGGTGGATCTGCATCTGTTGTAGAGAGGTGCAGGCAACTGCTTGCGCCTGTTCTTCTTATGTCTGCCAAATCTCAAGACTCTTCGACAGCTCTCGACATCACAGCGTGTGCAGCCATGCTCACCGATGATCGTTGCCGCGAGTTTCTACAGCAATCTAGAGATATGAAACTTCAAATTGACGCCCTCAGTGCCTTGCACCCACCGAAGAACCCTCGAGTTGGCGCTGTTGATCCACACATCAACAAGGAGGACTTAAAACGCGGCATGGAGACACACGGTGAATCCACTCGGACTACGCGTGTTTGGCTAGATTCAGACACGTTATCTATCGGGTCACGGAAGGATAGCGAAGCTACATTGGTAGATTTGCCAATTGACCACAAGGCTTTCACACCCCTCCAGGATTCTATACATCGCTCTGTCAAGGACGTCACACTCCTAGTCAAACAGATCATGGAACGTGACGAGGCTCCATCATCGCACGACCCAAACTCGGCAAATGTTCAAGCATCGGCACCTGCCTCTGTTCCACATCAGATGACTCCATCATCGTCACTTCCTGTAGAAGACGTCGTGATGGCGATATCTTTAGCACATCACTCAGGACCGTCTCCCGTAGATCCTCAGAATATAGCAACATGCTCGTCTACCGACTCCTATCCTTCGTCGTCACCGAAAATTCCAACCCTATCTATGCCCGGAACCTGGTTCGGGCGCCAGGGCCTTACTCGACCAGGTATACTTACCATTGATTTTGCGGTCGGAGATCGCATTATTCCCGCAGCTTCGTCGAGCAGGTACGCAAGACTTCGCGGTTCTAACTTAGCCTTTCCTCACGAGACATCTTAGTTCCTCCAATGTTCCATTTACCGTGCAACTTTCTTGTTTCCGCAAGGATCCCCATCATGAGCTTCAGGAAGGTGACAGCCTGGATATCACCCTTGACAAAATCAGGAGTGTGGGAGAGGATTGGCCTGCTAAAGGCACCCTTGTGGTGCAATTGAACGTTGAAAGCGCCAATGGGCGGTCCTGGCTTCCCTACGAATTGGTATGGTGTTATTCGTGGATGCTACCTCCAGAAACCAAATAACTTAACGTCTGCTACAGGAAAAGGGAGCACTGAATGTGACCCCGTCTATCACGCAAGGTAACAACACGATGCGTCTAATACACCTCAACGATCTATCCGACTTTACCTTCGTTCTGTACACCCTCTCGCCAGAGCTTCCAAAGAGGGCCGAGCCCTGGAGGGGACGATGCTGGGCATCCAAAATTATCCAGCCCGACTCAGAGATTTCGTTTGACACAACAAATATCATTCAGCACTATGCAAACGTACCAGTTATTGTATCATAATAGTCCACCTTTCGGTACCTTTAGACTGCGTTGTTCAGCTCTTGCATTATAAACCCGCACACGACATATGTGGTATATTGGTATCAAATACTGGCAATTTTCTTAATAGACATGACAATAACATCTGAAGCGCTCGCTTGGTATTAAAAAGTGAGCACATCTACGTCACCGCGAAGCGTAATATAACGGACGCCTCGAGGCACGTTACGTTGACCTCGGCAACCGGAAGTGCCTGCCTTTCCCCACATGTTTCTTTCCTTCATCATCCTTGTACCTTTGGAAAACGTCTGCATTCCCCTTATCCACCTCTTTACGACCTCACGACCTCACTACGGCACATTTATTCGCGCTAAGCCATCTCTACCATATCATGTCCGGTGGAGACGCAACCCATCATGATGCCACGCCAGAACCTCCCGATGTTAATAGCACAGAAACTGAACAACCGAAAGGCAGACAGCTCAAGAAGGACGAACGGGGGTATGCACAGGTGTACCTCGCTCGAGCACGGATTGAAGGGATTGAGAAGTGGAGAGTGGCTGTGGATGCAGCGCTGCAGGCAGCCGAAGAAGAACGCGCACAGTTTGAGGAAACGAATAGGAAACGACGGAGAATCGAAGAAGATGCGTGGGGAACTCTTGAAGAGACGCAAAATATTAATAAGGAGATTGAGGAGGTTTTGGCGCAGGACGTCCCAGTTGAGGTATGAAACTAGTTATTGTCATCACCTCGTTCCTCGTGATAACCTCGTTTGTAGCATACTGACGCGGTGGGGGGTACAAAGCAGAAGCGCCGCAGTAGGCGACATGAGCTCTGGAAAGGCCTCCGAAACATGTTCTTTAATATTATCTTCTAGCCAAATCCGTCGTCTGATTTCTTATCGTTGGTGTTCGTAATAGCATAATTTGGAGTTCTGGGAGGCATAGTGAGTGGTGGATGGGAACCGGTTGAATGAAGACGGCAGCCAGCAATTACGAGACGGAAATTGCCATTGCAACCGTCCTTGTCCGAGCTGGACTGATGCTCATTCCACCAAAAGACGCGCCCAACCCATCGTCGTCTGACTCTCCCCGTTTCGAAGCAGTGATTGGTATGCACGAGCCGCCTTGTCCGTGTTCCCATTCATTAAACGTTGAGTCCTCCTCTATCAGATCATCTTCATCCTCTTCTTCTTCATCGTCAATAGCCACCGCTGCCCACTCTCGATACACGCCTTGTATGTACTCGCCTGAGCGGGGCAGTTTGAAGGGATCGAAAGGGAAAAAAGTGTGCAAGTCCTCCGGGCCAGCGCTACCGGGTGCTACACCGGCAAATACAGGGTACGGTGTTCGTTTGTTTGCTTCCAGAATGGAGAAGCAGTATGTAAAATCAGTTGCTTGTGCGATGCGAGCAAATTGATGTACGACATTCTGAGAGCAGACCTATTTTGCGGTAGTTAGCCAAAGAATCTTTTCAAAGACGACGGCTAGCAAACCTTGAGAGGGTTGAGATCAGATGTGATAACTCTCTGCACGACTCCTAGCTCGCTTATCCATATCTTCCGTCCCACCTCTTGTTCGTCCGGCTCCTCCTGTAAGTCGCGCCAACGGAAGCAAAATACCAGAAATACAGACTGGACAACTGCATAAAAAACGCTGTGATTATTGCTAGCAGCATTGCCAGCCTCTACAGCATCTAAGTGCGCTCCGAGAAATGCGCATAGGACTTTAACGGCCCTCCGTGCGCCCTCACGATCAATAAACTGTGCACGCGAGACAAAGCTCCCGATATAACTGCTTGCTGCCGCACGTTCCACGCTACTCGCACTTGCGCTTCCGAAAAGGGCTTTGTCAACAAGTAGTCCCAGGAAAAGGTCTGAGAACTCGGGGTGAAGGGAAGCATACCAGAAAAGGAGAAATTGGGTATATCGGGACTTGAAAGTGCGGAGGATAGATCTATCGAAGATGGCTAGGAGAGTGTGAAATTGTATTGCGAGGAGGGTATGTGGCTCGTGCGATTGCGGGTCGCGATCGTGCGTAGTTGTTGGATGAATGGAGGGAGACGAAGGTACGACGGTAAGTATGGATGAATGTAGTTTGTTGAAGTGGTCAAATACAAGCTTGAGGATAGCATCAAGTTTCGAGACCATATCATGAACGTGTCTGGTGTCCATGGGGGTATCTTCAGCATCACTGTCTGACGATGCATCAGACGATAAATCGCTCAGACTATCGTCAACATCCTCATCATCAGAAGAGTTGCCCTCTTGCCCTATTATGGTATCAAACGGATCAAATTCAAAAAGTTCGCCATCTGTAGGTTCGGCGTCTTCAAGCTCTTCGAGCTCTACTTGAATCTCTACCTACGTGCAATTAAATCAATTAGGATCCAACCGCACAGAAAAAGAGCCCACTCACATCAACCATCAAAGCACGATCCACTATAAGGCCCAGGACCCTCTCTGAAAGTTCACCACAATACTCGGTTATACGCAGCAGATTTCGTATATAAGCTACATGTGCAGCTTGTGGCTGACGCTTGTGAGGGAAGTTTCGTACGAGGAGGGGAGCTAGAGATGATGGGAGGGTTGGTACAAGGTTTAAGAGATGTTCGAGAAGAGTATGTTGTCGATCATAGATCACACGTCGTGTTAAGGGGGTGGAGCCCTCTAAGTTTGAGGTGACAGCGAGAAGACCAGATTCTGCGAGTGACGCATCAAAACTGCTTGAATATCTTTCAAGATGGTAATAACTCACGATATGTGAAGCCCATCGCGATTCTGTTGAGAACAAGTGATAGATATTCTGGGCGCGCACTTATGAGCATGCCGATGAATACGATATACGATTTAACGAAGACAGCATCCATAGTAGACCACGGTAGGCGGACAATTGCCTCTACCAGTGGCGCGTGACGCCTCTCGAGGCGAGAAAGGACATGTGAGAGTGCAGAAAGCCAGATACGAAGCTGCAGAGATGACACGGTAGGCGCAAGCGTGGATTTGTTCGGACTAAACTGGTCAACAAGGTCATCAAAGTCTTTGCTATGCCCCTGCGCACGACGATCAGCACGCGATTAAGTGATATACCCCATACTCACATTGAGCTTCTCGCGTATGGCCTTATTCACATATGCGAGAAACATGTCCTTTTTGAATTGTTCATCTTGCTTCACCCGCGAATTCGTCGCGATAGGGCGAGAGGTAAATAGTGGCGAGTCCGATGGCATGGATGATGAGTAGGCTTTAGTGTACTTGTCTAAGGTGACTTTTTGGGTTGGCTCGAATCGTACGGAGGGTGAAAATGGTCCAGTCTTTGGTGTTCTTTGATTGAACTGGGAGAGTCTTGAATGCGGGTCCATCGTGACCGTTTTATGACTGCTTCACATCCGGTGTACAGCTTAAAAAACATTCCTGTAAAAACTTGATTATTATAAATGAATTATTTTAGGTTATCCTAAGAATTTGATGTTTATTCCAGTTAAGTCTCACTTCCCTCATCACCAACTACAATGTCTACCTCATTCTCGTCGGCTCACAGGCTCTATGTCAAGTCACTCTACCGCCGTATGTTGAAAAATGAACTGGACTGGGTTGTTCGCAGAGATATCTGGCGTGGTCGTGCAATGATGATTAGAGCTGAGTTTGAGAGAAACCGGTCAGTAGTAGACGTGAATGCGGTCGTCACTCTGGTCTAACTAGCAGATGGTGCTTGCATGTATCAGTGACGTGACTGAGCCGAGAGCCCTCGCCCAGATTCTTGAGAAGGCAGAGGCGAATCTCGCAAGCAAGTTGCATCCCGACCCTTACATCCGTGAGTTTCCGCGTCTCCATCACATCACCTCCTCTAAAAAAGCTTATTTTTCATAGCTCCTACCATGCCAGGAGGAACAAAGTGGTATGTGGTGAACTTTTATTCTCGTATTCGTCTTTTGTTGAGGCCGAAACTCATGCAGGGAACGCAATATACCTGTATGTTGCATCTTTCGCCTTTGTGTCATTGTCCTGACATTGCCTTCTACAGCCTACTATTGCTCCTTTATACGATCATACAGCTGCCGTACATCATTAAGTACTGTATACTTGCTCCAGCGCCCAATACACTCCGTTGCGTTGAACGCCAGTCATCTTACTGTGTCGGCCGTAATGTTGTTATCCGATCCATTTCTGAAAGTTCAGCCTTTTCAGTGATTGCCAACGTACCATCAGCATGAGTGCACCAGTGGTGCACGACAGATATGATGCTGGCGTTGAAGTAGTCATTGTTGCTGAACGACTTGGCTATACGTCAACTACTTGCAGCTCGGAATATATTAATAATTGGGCCACAAATGTAAGTTCCACCAGTAACGACAACCCATTGATCGTCCTTTGATACTGCCACATACATCTGCATCCAATTCTTTTTGATTTGCATGCACATCCCATCCCAGAGTAATTCTGTCCTCAGATCCGCTGATCATTCCCTCGCCGTCCGGAAGTGGAGTATCGATCGAAAACGCTTTCCTTCAAGGACCATTACCGGTGTTATAATCGTATTGGTTACTGCAGCGATGGAATTCACCAATATGGAATCCATCACTCGTGTTCCTACGAGCAAAACTCCCGAGCAGGCGAGACCTCTTGTGCTGTCAGCAAGCCGACCTCGATGGTGGCTTGTTAACTTTGTAATATCCAGCGTGGACGGACTGACGATTGGCCCCAGCAGACAAAGCCCTCTCGAGCGAGTTAGCTATCTTTCGAGGAAAGGTTGAACGTGCCCAACCGCCTTTGTGCTTATTCTAGTCGTCGTCTCCGAACGCTCGAACCCGCTATGTCGTTATCTTTAAACTACCCCGAAGTCGAAAAGCGGAAAATGGTGGCAGGAGATAGATGTTATCACAGGAATGGTCACTTCGCGCGAGATGTGATAGGCCAGACTTCATCATTTCATCGACAACTGAAGACCCCATCTCTAGATACCTACCAGAAACGAGTCACTGGCGAAAGGACAGTTCCACTTTCTGCAAGGATCCCAAGGAAGAGAGCGAGATGTATACAAAATACTTCATAAATGAGTGAGCCCTAGCCGTTTTGACCTGGGAGAACGCTCCGGAACCTGATCTGTTAAGATAGAGGGATGTTGTGGTGGAATAATGGAGCTTTGCAACGTGTAAAAAGATGATAGAGCAGAACCTTTGCCGTCCGTTATACTGTGCAGAGACACCATCAATATGGAACTAGAATGTCAAGGACATGTCCTGAGTCCTGGATAGACGATGTAGAAATGGCCTGCGCCTGAATTTAGCTGTGCCACTCAACCTGTTGTGTAAGTACATTTGATTGAGCATAACGAACAAGATCATCCATTGATTGTTTTAGGAATACTACAGGCGTAGCAAGACGGTCGTAAGCCTTGTTATACTGCTAACTGCACCGTCTGCTCGAGAATTGGTCTTGTCTGGACAGACTGTCGGTGCACAGAAAATGGCCCGATAAACTCGTACTTTTGAGAGAGTGGACTATACTCCCGGCACGGATCAGATGCGAGCCATAACCTGTGGTATTGCATATACAGATCATGCCACTCTTATGGGTGATCACCGTATGCTAGCTGGCGTCAGTCGGACGAGAGGATAGGGTAGCTGCGAGCCTCTGCCACGAATGAGGTGAGTATTCCGAGCTTGGCAGGTGCGCATCATGTGGCACCACTGGCAACTCGGCGGAGACCATCGTCAGATCAATGTGCTAGACTGGCGAAAGCTTGATGCGAATTCAATGCAGTTCTTCGAGCCACTTCGATATGCTTTCAACAGTGCATTGAACATTAACGAACGCAGGGGTCAAGTGGTCCTGCATATGTGATGAATAACCAAAGTCAGTGAAATCCATTTATCCGGTGGCGTATCTCATTTCAGTGGATCAGTCACACTGGACGCGCGACAGATCAGGGACACAAGGAACCCTTACTTTATTCTAGACAAGGAAGGGAACTCGGTAAAGACGCGAACAACGTTACCTGAATGGAGTTTGGCTTGATGGAGGTTGAATAGGTTGCCCTTCAATTACCCTGAAAGATGTTTCACGAATCATCTGATGGAACCACCATCTTCTTTCTTCTATCTGTCTGTCTGACACCGTCTGATTATGTCTGATTCTTAGATCAGTGATTGATAAGAAGCTATCGATTATCCGCAGGCTGCAGCTGATTTTTAAACATCCCGCCAGCGCCCACAGGATCATTCTTCCAATTTGAAAATGAAAAAAGTTCGGTATTGTCAGCAGCGCTGGAGCGGGGGACCCCTTGGGTGAGGTTGTTTGGCGGTGTTTGGAGCGCAGGCAGGGCGTTAGGTAGAGTTCCGGCCCAAGCAGCAGTACTTAGTAAGGCATCACTTCGTTGTAGAGTCCAGCGCACGCATTTAGTAGAGCCCACCCTAGCGCTACCATCATCTCAGTGACTTGACCGCCCAACCGAAACAAACAACCAGTGAGTACCAGTGGTTCGGTGCACTCTGTCTCATCTTTTTGATTGACAGTGGTGATTGCTCACAGTGTGTACGATGTTTTACACACCACATGCCTGTGGATGCCAGAAGGACTCAAAGTTTGTCCAATGCGAAGCACGCCAAGGTACAAACGTCCGTTGTTCCTCGTACGCTAGGCAACCGTTGAGCCAGGCAGGAAATTATTGCGAGAATCATCTCGTGAAAGACACTGCACCTATACAAATGCGTCAGTGAATAAAGGTACCTCAATCTTTTGACATCCTCTTCATGGCGTTACTAACGCGAAGGCTGCATGCAGAACCGGCAAAGCCAGCCAGTACAAGTGTAAGCTAAATGTTATTATTCCTACAATACGTGTGTTGTGAAGGTGAAGTCAAATAAAATTGTCTCATCAGTGTTTCAGTATTACTATTGAATATTTTCTGGTGAGATATTCGAGAGGACAGTTGCTGAGATATGACTTGTGCCAGCATATCTTTCGACTTTGTTGCAGGTTCCGTAGCGGCCAGCGCACGAGAGAAAACTCGTGTGGCACGTAACCTCCTAGACGCGTTCGCGGCTTCAGTTTCGTCGTGTGACTCGTGTCTACACCTTTGACTATGTATTTCTTAGTCATTTGAATGCGAGCAACGGACTCACATGTGCATACAGGCACTCCTGCTGTGGTGTCTGCGTTGCCATATCATGCAGGATCGCTTGCAAAAGATTTAGGCACAGCTGTAATTTGATCAACAGTGCTATATATTTTTCATCTGCGTCGGTTAACTTGACAAATGTTTTCCACTACACGTTTGAAAAGCCGAAGAATACGTTCAGTAGGCTAAGTGTGTCAGAACCACGCCACCTCGTCCTGTTGTCTCACTCAGCTGGGCAGGCAAAGTAGCGAGCTCCTCATCCTTCTGCTCAGCACTCCTGCACAACATCGCATTCTCGAAGTCGATCAATGTAACAGTTCCGTCCGACGCCACGACGAAGTTGTATTTGTTCGGATCGCCATGAATGATGTTTAGCCCATGCAGGCGCTGCAGCACATTGCGACATCCCTGCAAGTCTTCCGGACCAGCCGGTCGTCCGTGCAATTGTTCTATTAAGAACCCTATCACCCTGTCCCCTTCGACGATGTGCCCAAGGAATTCTGGGCACACGCCACACCCTTTGATCGCTCGATACGCCGCAGTTTCTCTTTCCATCCGCGGGATCTCAAAATCAAACCTGGCAATCTTGGACACCACCGGCCTCGAAGCGTACTGGGCCACTCGCGCCTCAACCCAATTACCTGGCGGCAGATGTGGGAGGAGGGGGAGGAGGTCCATAGGAAAGGGCAAAACATCACTAGGGAATGTTCCCGGTTCGATGGTGATGTATTTCACTTGACTGCCTACGCGCAAGCGGTACAGGCTTTCCTCAACATCGGGATGTAAAGTGTCCACATCCATCGAAAGAACTTCCTGTGCCATTGTGTTTGTAAGTCCAATGACGCGCATGAAAGGGATTAAAATTTTCGTTATTACCATGTCAAGGGTGGAAGTCCCCAGGTCCGCGTGGGTCATCTACATCGACCATGTTACTGCCTATAATGTTGTTATTGAAAGACTAGATAGTGTACTCACAGTGGTATGTACAATGATTAGGAGGAGAAAGGCCTGTCTTCCTCTGTCTATGATCTAGGACTCGAGAATATGATTGTGAAAACTTGTCGCCGATTCTCAGCCGTTGAGGCTTGAGATTGCGAAAGAGAAGAAAAGCAAACTATAGTAGAAGTCCAAATTAACACATAATATTATTCAAATCGTCCAGTTAGATCGGTTTATCCGGTGGCGGGCCAAGGTGGCGCAGGGTCTCAGTTTGGTAGACAATCACAGCGCTAGCTGTACCACAGGTCCAACGAATGTATCGTTCTGTGTCATGTTGACTGTACATAAAATACAAGAGTGAATTGGTTCTATCGCAGAAAACAAATGAATTGGAACAAATGGGTAGGGTATCACAGCCAGTCATGGAACGATGGTGGAATATTTTTTTCGTCAAAATTGCTAAAAATGTAAGGATATCAACTGAATGGCTCTCGAAATGAACACGCATACGCACCGGGACTTCCACCCGCCATCCCGGTGAGCGCTTAAGCTTCCTCTCTAGGGAATGCACTTGATTTTGCGTTGGACAGGTAGCCTCACGTTCCGTATCCCTCCACAACACTAACAACAGCACATTTCCCGATGTCATACACTCCGATGGGATACTCTTCGAATCTCCAACCACCTTTCCATGTGCCAAAGTGCAAATGTTAAGACCTAGATAAACCTTGACGAATGTAAGGGAATTCATGACGAGGAAGCCGGGGTTATCTGGTAAATTTTTGCCTGGCCGAACATGGTGGAAAGCAATGGTTCCCATGTTCCAAAGTTCCTTCTTGACAATAGGAAACCCAAACAACTAACGATTGCCGCATGAGGCTCGGGGGGGGGGGGGGGGGGGGGGGCCTTACGAGAACGTACTGAGATACGTCTGAGCTGTATCTACAGGGCACCCATTGTACCGCGGTAGACGTTTCCGTTTCTTGTGAGTCAGACTCTGAGATCTTTGAACAAAATGAGTGGCAGTACGCGTACAACAGATGAAATTTAACGAGGTACTCACCTGAAGTCTTCTAAGGCTTCGCTCGAGTTGGCTTGCAGTAGAGGGCATTTTCAAGAAGTGTTATACTATCTATCTCTTTCTAGACAAGCTGATGTTTTGCCTTGATCGACGGCGGACGCAAGTGAATCTGACAAGTGGTCCGACAAGTATACGAAGATGTTCTTTGAGGCAGTCAAAGTCATCCTTTAATGAAATACCAGAGATTGAGAACCGACGAAAATAAGTCATCACATGGCGCTATGGATACAAATAGTCTTACAGTCCCTCCGTGTTCGTCCGCAATATCGATATGATATTGTCCAGGTCTCATGTTGAGCGTATGTATCACAGATGACGTGCAAGAGTTATAAGTTCTACCGCAAAAAATGAATGAGGTTGGTACAAGTGGGGTAGGAAATATAGTCAGCCATGGAATGATGGCGCACTGTTCATCAAAGATGCTAAAAAATAAAGAGGGTCAGCTGAGCGGCTCTCAAAATGAGTATGCATACGCACTGGGACTTCCACCCACCATCTCGGTGAGCGCTTAAGCTTCGCTTCCACAAAATGCACTTGACTTAGCGTTGGACAGGATGCCTCGGGTTCTGTATCCCTCCACAATATTAACAATAGCACCTCTCCCAACGATACGCACTCCGATGGGATATTATCTAAGCCTTCATCCACCTTTCCGAACGCCATAGTACAAACGCGAAGACCGAGATATGCCCTAAGGAGGGTGAGGGAATTCATGACGATGAAGAAATGGTCGTCTGGTAAAGTTCTGTCTGGCCAAATTTTCTTGAAAGCAAAGGTCCCCATGTCCCAAAGTTCGCTCTTGATAAGAGGAAAACCAAACAGCTGACGGTTGCCGCACGCAGCCCGGGGAGGCCTTACGAGAACGCACTGAGATGCGTCTGAGCTGTAGTATCTAGAGGGCACCCATTGCATCGCAGTAGACGTCTCTTGCGAGTCAGACTCTGAGATCTTTGGACAAAATGAGCAGCAGTACGCGTCAAATTGATTGTAGATTAAGAAGTCACTCACCTGAAGTTTTCTCAGACTTCGTTCCAGTTGGCTTGCAGTAGAGGTCATTTTCGTCGAAGAGGTAAATGAAGAAACTTAGACACTATAATATGTAGTACTTTGGCATATACGATGTGGACAATATCCGTAAAGTGGTGTGAGACACATAGTGTTTGATTTTATGCGAAGTTCGCTCAGAATACACCAAGGTTGGCTTCTGCCGTACACCTGAATTACGAGGACGTCCGGGAAATGGAAACTCTAGGTCTAGTCTACGTAGAGTCTACGTAGAGTCCACTCTGGGTCCTGTCTGGGTCCTGTCTGGGGGTGTGCCAGCCGCCCAGCCAGATTAAAGCGGAGTTTAATCCTCAGTTGGGACGTTCGAAGTATGACTAAGCTTGAGAGTCGTGGGTGACAACTGCGTCGGCCCCTAGCTTGTCAACATTCACCACGATGACCGTCGTCGTTGCCCGTACATATAAATTGAAATGACAATAGTATATATAAAAAAGTGCTGATGCGCAGGGTGGTGTTTGATGCGGCATGTGGTAGGTGTGACGCGACGATGTCTGGAAAGATTTGTAAGCAGGTTCGGCAGTACCCGTACGGGTATCGGGTGCTCAACACTTCAACCCATACCCATACCTGTGACCCGCACGGGTTACCTATACCCATGCGGATCCCTGGGCGGCGGGCAAGAGGGTGGGGCGGCGGGCGTCATCAAGATGAGGGCGGGGTGAGCTAAATTACAACTTGAAGCTCAGTCACATCGTCCTGATTTGGAATTAAACTCCGCTTTAATCTGGCCGGGCGGCTGGCACACCCCCAGACAGGACCCAGAGTGGACTCTACGTAGACTCTACGTAGACTAGACCTAGAGTTTCCATAAGCCTTACATTCACTGAATTACATATCCTTTTCGCGCTATGTTTGGTTTACAAATTACTTGTTTTGCCGTGTAATGCGAAGGCTGCAGAACTGGCAAAGCCACTGGATTGTAGTATAAGTTAGAAGTCACTCCTACGACACATGTATCGTGAACTTGAAGCTAAGCAAACCATTTTGTGAACCCTTCAGTCAAATCGTTCAGTTAGATCAGTTTACCCGGCGGCGGGCCAAGGCGCAGGGTCTCAGTTTGGTAGACAATCACTGGCACATGCAGCGCTAGCTGTACCGCGAACGACAACCCAGAGGCCCAACGGATCTATCTTTCTGTGTCATGTTGAGCGTATATAAAGTACAAGAGTGAATTGGTTCTATCGCAGAAAACAAATGAATTGGTACAAATGGGTAGGGTATCACAGCCAGTCATGGATCGATAGCGGAATATTCATAAGTTAACAAAACTGCAAGGATGTCAGCTCAAGGGCTCTCGAGATGAATACGCATACGCACTGGGATTTCTACCCACCATCCCGGTGGGCGCTTAAGCTTCATCTCCACGGAATGCACTTGACTTTGCGTTGGGCAGGTAGCCTCCCGTTCCGTATCCATCCACAATACTAACAACAGCACCTCTCCCGATGTCACACACTCTGATGGGATATCCTTCGAATCCCCAACCACCTTTCCACCTGCCAAAGTGCAAACGCGAAGACCGAGATATACCTTGAGAAATGTGAGGGAATTCATGGCGATGTAGGCATTGTTGTCTGGTAAAGTTTTGCCTGGCCGAACATGGTGGAAAGCAATGGTCCCCATGTTCCAAAGTTCCTTCCTGACAATAGGAAAACCAAACAGCCAACGATTGCCGCATGGAGCCCGGGGAGGCTTTACGAGAACGTACTGAGATACGTCTGAGCTGTATTTAGAAGGCACCCATTGCACCGCGGTAGACGTTTCTTGTGAGTCAGACTCTGAGATCTTTGAAAAAGAATGAGTAACAGTACGCGTACAACAGATGAAAGTTGACGAGGCACCCACCTGAAGTCTTCTAAGGCTTCGCTCAAGTTGGCTTGCAGTAGAGGGCATTTTCGAGAAGGTTTTGTCAACGAACAAAACGAACTTGGTCAATATCCAATCAATATCATAATATTTTGACATACGCCACTAATGTGACTGGACACCCATTGTTTGCTCGATGAAGTAAGAATCGCGGACTTGGATGCGGCTGTGACGCCAGTGGAGTCAACTTACATCAGGTTTCCAGTGGTGCCACTGGCGAATTTGAATGGTTTCTGTTAATGTTGCAATGCCTTGTCTGCTCCAAGTAGGACTGCTGCACGTCAGGATTGTCCAGTATATCAGATTTTGGCTTTTCAGGTGTTCTGGGTACAGTAGACACGAATTCACCCAAATTGACACTATGTTTTCGAGGGTGTGAAATTGACGCAGTAAATTTGCCGGGCAAATTTGCCTGGTGCAAATTCCCGGAACCCTAGACTAGGCATTCACAGATGATTATGGTGTCTTCAAGTGTCACGCCTACGTCGTTGCGCGTTGAAAGGCTAGTGATGTCAAAAAACGCGTCAAAGCTCGAAACGAGGAACAGAACAATAGCATGCTGTTGAAGTTGGAATTCCAAGTTGTACATAGTTCTCTGCTGGCTGAAGAATGCGCGCCCGTTAGGTGTCGACTCGGAGGGACCAGAGAGGGAGGAAAATAAAATAGTCATTGGTTGATGTACTGGTTGTGAATGTCTCTATGATGTATAAAATAACAAGGGAATGATCGTGAACCATGCAACCTGATCTGAGAGTCAAATGTAGAACATATAGGAATACTTGCATTAATGGCGCGCCAGTGGCCGCATCAAAATAGCTACGCCCAATTAAAAAAAGTACAAGTATGTCAGCTCAAGGGCTCTCGAGATCAATATGCATACGCACTGGGATTTCTACCCACCATCCCGGTGGGCGATTAAGCTTCATCTTCACGGAATACACTTGATCTCGCGTTGGACAGGTAGCCTCACGTTCCGTATCCCTCCACAATACTAACAACAGCACCTCTCCCGACGTCACACACTCCGATGGGATATCCTTCGAATCTCCGACCACCTTTCCACCCGCCAAAGTGCAAAGGCGAAGACCAAGATATACCTCGAGAAATGTAAGGGAATTCATGGCGATGTAGGCATTGTTGTCTGGTAAAGTTTCGCCTGGCCAAACATGGTGGAAAGCAATGGTCCCCATGTTCCAAAGTTCCTTCCTGGTGATAGGAAATCCAAATAGCCAACGATTTCCGCATGGAGCCCGAGGAGGCTTCACCAGAACGTACTGAGATACGTCTGAGCTATATTTAGAGGGCACCCATTTCACCGCGGTAGACGTGTTTTGTGAGCCAGACTCTGAGATCTTTGAACAAAATGAGCGGCAGTACACGTAGGACAGTAGAAAGTTGACGAGGTACCCACCTGAAGTTTTCTAAGGCTTCGCTCAAGTTGGCTTGCAGTAGAGGGCATTTTCGAGAAGTGTTTTGTCAACGAACAAAACGAACTTGGTCAATATGTAATACTTTGGCACACGCCCACGCCACTGTGGCTGATGCTGGCTGGACAACACCCAAATATTGTTGTTTGCTCGATGGAGTAAGAATCACGGACTTGAATGATTTGGATGCGGCTGTAGTCCCACTAGTGGGCACTTGGTATATATGCAGAATTCGTATGGTCTAAATTCATGTTCGTATATATGATCATAATGCACATCATTTCAAGCAGCGCAGCCGCTATCGTGACTAGGCATTCCCAGATAATTATGATGTTTCACCTCAGTAGCTATTGTGAACTTTCATCCTTTCTGCCGCGCCATCAGTGAGTTCACGATTATCTCTCGGCTATAGATTTGAATTTCATTCATTCTAGCAACACATCAGACATTACCTATTTTTTCTTTTCTTTTCTCTCTAGACTCTGCGAAGCACGGGTATTTTTTTTTTGAATCGTTGTTCGTTGTCCGTTTACAGCACCGTACGGTGACTTTAATTCAAGTTAGGGGCGCAAGTTACTAAGTAGTAAGTATTCCTCAAGGAACTGTAACTTCGGATAGCTTATCTGACTTCTCACAAAATGCGACTGACTGATATCAAAGGTTTTCGATTTTGCAGAATGTCCGTTGCTCGTGGCAAGGGACGCCATATTGGTAAGGAAGGTCATACGAACGTAAATGAAAAGAACAAGGTTTGGGCCGATCGTACTCAATGGAGTAAGAATCACTGTGAGTGGACATTCTTGGGCGGTGTCGAAAAAGTTCAAAGTTGATGCAATAATCGATAACGGTTTACTGCAACCTGTGACTACTTATCTCCACCGGTTTTCAAGGATCGATGTGACTTTGAAATGTCTGAATAATCTTAGTGTCGTAGGTATAAATTCACAAGTGCAGCCCATAAACCGCAATTCTAGTGGCTCCCCCGTCATGTCATTTCGCCAACCTCGAGAACCATCTTTGCTTCACCAACCTACCTACTCTCAAAGATTCAGCAATTAAAACACTTCGACTACACTGCATCAACCAGCCCAGAGTACCTGGAGGTCCACTTCTACGTCGTTGCCGGTAAGTGAATATAAAGTCGTTCTTACTACTGCTCACCGCTACAATATCAGCGATCGGTGGGAGCAGGGGCCACACAAGAGACTCCACCGAGCTCCCATTCAATGAGCATCCGGAATGAGCGTGATTTTTCCCTCGCCTTATCTATCCGGGCTGCTCAGGCAGACACAAGGGAATGCCCCTGGTATGGAGTGTGGGCTAAAGTCCTCCAAAATTATATGTTTGCCGGGGCGGACGCATCACGAACATCATGTACATGCATTCCACAATACTCCCTCATTGCATCCCATGATTCCGGCCGCTCGCCGCCGAATGGTGGCTCCGGTCGGTCCGATTCTGACATATCCATGGGCAGCCATTCTTCAGATCGGCATTTGATGACTCCAGGGGGCCCCCTTCCGGGACCACCACCTGTGCCCTACAACCCTACCCCAAATTTCAGTCCTCAATCACAGGCAATTTTCGGAGGACCACTACCTCCCTTGACACCTAGCCCTGTGTACCCAGATTTTCGTCGTCGTGAACCATCCCCTGACAGTCCGACTACGCAGCACGTCACTCGTATGCAGGCTCGTCGCGCTGTGAATGTTTCCAACAATCCTGTCAGCGCCTATCCGCTGCCTCAATATTCGTCGTCGTCGTCATATCCGTATCCATATCCATCGGATGGTACTTTCCCAATAACTCCACCCAGGCCGACCACCACCTTTTCAAATGCATCTACCAGAATTCCGTACTTTGTGCAAATGCTCGAACATGCACAACAGCCCTTCCCAGTCATTCCCAGTCATGTAATCCGCCGGGTTATTATGATAGTTGAAATCAAACCGCAGTCATATGCTGTGCCCGGTGGGGTATTCAAATGGGAAACTATCTGGAAGGATCAAGTACAGGAACAAGTTCTTCATGCATTTGAGGCTGATCGTACTCTGAAATACTTGGGAGTCCTCATAGCTGCAGGTCGTCGTTGGGTGTACAGCACTGTGAACCGTGGCAAGCTAGTTTCTCGCACAATGTCAGAGATGCGCGATCCAACTTGGCGCGGCACTGGACCGCAAGTACCATCGTCTGATAATTCCGTGGTAGAGGAGGGGGACGTCCAGCCTGTTCTTCCCTCGTGGAACATCCCCGACTTTCTCCCCAAAGCAGAGAATGGCACCTTATATCAATTTGATCTCCTGGACGCCAGGGGAGACTCCCTCAGAGCCTTTCAAGAAATTGTAAATGACCTCCGCCATAAAAATAGTGATATTTAGTTCTAGGGCATCTTAATGGTGTGGGCAGGAGGGACGGTTTGGTATTATCGCGAGGCGGAATAGAGATGCAATGATGTGGTATACAACAAGGTTATGTAGTCGCCACATGCAGTATACAAGACTCAATGAAGAAGCCATGAATAGTTGTTATATCTCAACCGTTTTGAAAGTACGCCATTCGAAATGTATATACCTGAATCGTACAGAGGTATGAAATCATATCAGTTGCAGAAAATCACTATTGGTGCCCAATGAGCAAACTACGATCGTGAACAATACCATGACTGTCACTTTGACTTGGAGTTAATTTTGATTGAGTAGCCTCAATTTTGCGTCAGAGCGAAGGTTTCTCTGATGGCGCATGGCGCAACAGAGATTTGTCGAGATCCATTGAAATGTGTTGCAGGGTGAGTTTTGTAGATCATGGATCTAACTGCGACCGTGAGCTCCTCCACCACTGCCACTCGTCGTGCCAGCCTGCTGGAGTGGGTAAACCCGCTCCAAACGCCACCGTGGAGGCATCCTCAGCCTTCCATGAGACCAGCACGAGTAGTAGCAGAAGAACGCCTTGCACCAGTGTACGTCTGGAAGAGAATCCAGGTCAGACGACTCGGACGGTGGGTCATTTGCTGCCGTGGACGACGACGCGACAGGCTGCTGTCGAGGTTGACGTCGAGTATCATTGGCTTTCTTGTATTCTGGTAGCTTAGCAGCTGCAAGCCGCTGAAGGGCTTCAATCAGCATCAAGGTAAGAAGCAGGAAGATCTACGTTACAGTGAACTTGCGTCCAGGTGCGACTTCAATTTCAGGTGGTTCGTGGCTGGGCCTTCGCTGAAAGGAAAGGTGCTGCCGCAGGAACTGCTTAAGGTCGCTCGCGTGACGGGGAGAACTCGTTTCTAACTGGATACGCTCTCAGCCATGGACTGCTAATCAACTAAAAGTGAAGACTAACGTTTGTTGCCTGGGCTAAGAAAGAGTGGTTGGGAGGTAGGGCAGATGTAGCAGGGAACTGGAAAGTAATCTTCGAGTCAACTGCGGCAGAAAAAAGATCAAAAGACATACATCTAGGGGGTCACGAGGCTGATTGTTCGAAACTGCATTCGCACGAGGCAATCGAAGGAGTTTGCGGAAGCGGCGGACGAAAATAGATGATTGTGGGTCTACTGTAGGTGTAGGTCTTGGCCTAGGGGGGTACGAAATAGTCACTGGGTTACGAGGACGGCGGGTTGCATCAGACTACAACAGTTGCAATGGGTAGCATGATGAGTAGAAGAATGGGATGTATGCATTGCACATACCTTTAGTAAATCAGCGAGGCTTGAGTTTTTGTGTGCACTGGTCTGTGAAGATGCATGTATTAGTTCTCACACAATCTGTATAAGTCTACGTACACTGGCCTGTGCATCCGATGCAGACCCGATGCTGGCCAGGATCTCTGCCGGAGTGTTGTAAATATAAATGTCACTACCACTTGCATAAGCTAGTTGACGTGAGTCGGGTGAAAGGGTTAAGGAGCCGAGAGGCAGAACGTTGAACGAGGCGAGAAGATGGCGGGACTCGAAGGCCCAGAGCTTGATAGTTTCGTAGCATCCGGTAACGAGGAGAGTATCATCAGATGAAAGCACCAGGCCGGCAAGAACCATGGTGTGCCCTTCGAAAGGAGTTCCGACAGTCTTTAGGGTGGATGCATCGAACTCATAGATCGTCCTAGCAGGGTCATCCGTAAAACTGAATGCAGCAACGATAGTCAAGTTCTTCTTTGTCCAGAACACGGATGCATATGACATGGGATCGTAACCAAACGTTCCTGTTCTGACGTCCAACTTTCGTGTGTGCACGCCCCATACCTCAAGACACTTCCCCACATCTGACTTTACTGCAAGTTTCTTCGAATCATGCGAGAATCGAACTGCGCCCAGACCCTGAAGACTTGTGAATGGTCCAGCCACCAATTTTCCGGTCTCCAAGCTCCATATATGAGCCGAGCGATCGATTGCCCCGCTCACAAGCAACGCGCTATCTGTAGATATATCAATGCAATATGTCTCTTTTGAGTGGCCTTCAAATGTCTTGACGATGCCCGTCTGAACATCACACGCTTTGAGCTCCCCGCGACCAGAATGTGAACCACCAGTGACAACCCATCGACCATCCCTGGAAACTGCTACCGCACGGATTTGCCGCTTACAAACATCCCGCAACTTGGGAATCTCTTTACCCACTTGCATGTCCCATTGCCGAGCGGTAAGATCATCAGATCCGCTGAGCATTCGCTTGCCTTTCGGAAAGTAGGATATAGAACGAATTTGGTCTTCATGACCCCGTAAGGTCATTGCCGGTGCCAGAAACATTGTGGTGTTTGCGGTGGTGGATTGCGTTAACGTGGACGCCATGACCTGTGTCTTTTCGATCAAGAAAAAAAGAGCCAGGTACGTGCCAGAGATTCCTTGGACACGGTTAAAGAGCGACAGCAGGGTCTACTGTACTTGTACTGCAGGCCCGTTATTGATAATGACTGTGGTCACCTCGAGTACAGTGTACCTGCTGAAGACAATCATCAATTCTATGGCACTGTGTGTTCATATAAGATTTGATCATACCAAGAGGTTAGTGACCAAGTGACCAATTGAACTCAGGCGCCGATGTCGTCTATGTATATCGCTTGCCACGCCTCTTATGCATGGCACAACAGCTGTGCATTGCAGTGCCCTGGGCGTTTATGAACCTCAAAAAGTCTTCCCCTGCGAAGGCTATGACACGTGGAAAAATTAATGTGACGAACTGGACCACCACCTCCCATACAATACTTTTCTGCTGTCATACTATCCCTTTACAGATCCGCTGATGTTTGCCTTTGTCGACACAAGTGAAGCTGACAACTCGTCAAGTATAGGAAGACGTTCTTTGAGGCTGAGAGGGGACGAATAGATGCAGGTCCGAGTCATCATGCATCACGTGGCGTTATGGATCAACAAATAGTCTTTCAGTCCTTCCGCAGTGTTCGTTTACAATATCGATATATTGTTCAGTCTCACTTTAAGTGTATGTATCACGGATAACTTGCGATAATTAGAAGTTCTACCGCAAAAAAATGAATGGGGTCGGTCCAAGTGAGGTAGGTAACACAGCTAGCCATGGAACAATAGCGCACTATTCATAAAATGCCTGAAAAATAGAGTATCAGCTGAACTCCAGTTTGCTTGGAGTAGAAGTCATTTTTGAGCTCTGCACTGTTCAGTGAATAAAATAAACGTGGCTGAACTACTATGGAATACGCCACCGATGCGGAGTTTCGACGCAGTTCGTGACACGTTCAACTTGGGATAAGAAATCGAACAGAGACAACAAACTAAACGATGCCTCTAACCATCGGACGTTTCGAGGGCGGGTCCCTTCCCAACTTTGAGTATATTGGACAAGCAGCGACATAGTAGCACTTATTACTAATTTGCGTGCGCCACACTCGTGGAACAAAGCAGCACAAAACTTCATCAACTTTTTTCGAGGATTGAAATGATAACTCTTCCATCGACAGGTTCCTTTTAATTCATAAAACCAGAGGCCGAGCGTTTGTTCTCCCAAATAGTGTTGTAGGTGTTCAGCACTGATAAATATCCCGATGTGCCCGGCCCCTTTTGAACGTCGTCAACTGTTGCTTTTGTTCTTGTTCTAGTTGCCTTATGAAACGTCCGGAACCGCCATGTCGTGAGCTTTAAACCACGCCCCGAATTCGGAAGGTGGATAATAACGGCAGAAGATAGATATTGAGCACCACTATTATCGCCGGAGTGACGACCCCGGGCCCGCCCGAGATGTGATTCATCATCATCGGCATCAAGCAAGCCAAAGGATGCGGAGAACCCTATGTCTAAATACCCACCAGAAATGAGTTAATCGCGAAAGGAACTGACTACGGGGATCCTAAAGAAGAGAGCGACATTGATGGTCAATATTTCATAGCCGAGTAAGTCCCAACAGTTCTGACCTGGGAGGACACTTGGAAATATGATCTGTTAAGACACAGGAATGCCACAGTGGGGTGATAAAGATATAAGAAGATGGCGGCAAGAACCTCTGCCGCCGTCTGTTACACTGTGCAGAGACACAAATATAACAACAAGTCGAACTAGAACAGTCGGTGCCTACGGTAAGGATATGACCTGTCCTAGATAATCAGTTTGGACCAGCATTTAACCGTGTTACTCAACCTATTTTACAACTCAAGTTCGTTTGACTGGGCATCACAAGCAAGATCATCATCTGATGATCTATTGACTATTGCATTACTCCAGGCGTAGTATAGTTGTCGTATGCATTGCTAACTGCAGCTGTCTCCTCCAGGGTTGAACCTGTTTGAACAGAACGTCAGTGCACCGAGAACTGCCCGATAAACTCGTACTTTCGAGAGGGAGCTCTTCAGCTCGCCTCAATATTCCTTCGCCGACGAGCGCGTCGACGAGTCTCAAGGAAAGTAAAAGCGGTCCTGTAGATAATATGATAAACAATCAAATTCAGTCAAATTCGTTTACCCGGTGGCGGATCTTAGTTCAGGTGATCAGTCACGCTGGACAGACCAGGGGTATAAGGAACCCTTACTTGCTTCTAGAAAGCAAAAAAAACTCAGCGAAGACACACAACATTTCTTATCAGAAAGGCATTTGGCTCGATGGAGGTTGACATGATGGAGTGATTGGTTCTATTGCAGAAAACAAATGAATTGGTATAAGTAGGTAGGGTATCGCAGCCAGCCATGGAACGATGGCGGAATATTCATCGAATTAACAAAACTGTAAGGATGTTAGCTCAAGGGCTCTCGAGATCAATATGCATACGCACTGGGATCTCTACCCACCATCCCGGTGGGCGCTCAAGCTTCATCTTCAGGTAATGCACTTGATCTTGCGTTGGACAGGTAGCCTCACGTTCCGTATCCATCCACAATACTAACAACAGCACCTCTCCCGATGTCACACACTCCGATGGGATATCCTTCGAATCTCCAACCACCTTTCCACCTGCCAAAGTGCACATGCGAAGACCAAGATATACCTCGAGAAATGTGAGGGAATTAATGGCGATGTAGGCACTGTTGTCTGATAAACTTTTGCCTGGCCGAACATGGTGGAAAGCAATGGTCCCCAGGTTATAAAGTTCCTTCCTGGTGATAGGAAAACCAAACAGCCAACAATTTCCGCATGGAGCCCGGGGAGGCTTTACGAGAACGTACTGAGATACGTCTGAGCTGTATTTAGAGGGCACCCATTGCACCGCGGTAGATGTTTTTTGTGAGTCAGACTCTGAGATCTGTGAACAAAATGAGTAGCAGTACGCGTACAACAGATGAAAGTTGACGAGGCACCCACCTGAAGTTTTCTAAGACTTCGCTCAAGTTGGCTTGCAGTAGAGGGCATTTTTCAAGAAGTGTTTCATCAATCGAAGTTCAGCTTGGCCATTATAACATTTTGGCACACGTCCACGCCACTGATATGACTGGACAATCAATTACATAATCATATCGCACCCATTGTTTGCTCGATGGAGTAAGATTCACGGACTTGAATATTTGAATGCGGCTCTGTGGAGTCTGGGCCAATGCTACACAGAAGTCCGCTGGTAGTATTGCATTCTTATGGTCTGCATTCATGTTCGTATGATCATAATGCGCATCATTTCAAGCAGTGCAGCCGCTGTCGTGACTAGGCATTCCCAGATGCATCATGGTGTTCTGGCACCTATAACTATGGTGAACTTTCATCCATGCCATCAGCGAGTTCACGATAATTCCTCGGCTATTTGAATTTTATTCATCCTAGCGACACATTGATAATCACAGACAATGCCTATTTTGTCTTCTTCTCTCTCTGGACTCTGCGAAGCACGGTGATTTTTTTTTGAATCGTTGTTCACTATCCATTTACAGCACGGTGACTTCAAGTTAGGGGCGCAAGTTACCAGCATTCCTCCGGAAGTCAAGGAACTGTAACTTCGGATAGCTTATCTGACTTCTCACAAGACGTGGCCGATTGATATCAGAGGTTTTCTATTTTGCAGAAAGTCCGTTGCTCGTGGCAAGGGGAGCCATATGAAAGAAGGTCATACGAACGTAACTTACTTATTGGAAAATAACGGTGGGCGAGGTGGCCTATGGGTGGCGTCGAAGCTGATGTACGGTGTTAGTGATGTAGATTTGACTGTCAGTTGCCACAATTCACCGTTGGTTCCAGGCCCAGAACAAAACCGACAAGGTCGCGATTATGCTTGACGGTGCAGAAATTACTGTAGGCAGCGAGGGTGGGCGACGCCGAGACCTATCAGTGATGCATGATGGTAGTCACGGGCCATCGTAAATCGAACATCACTCTAGCGTCACAACTGCAAACGAACATTGAACGAAAAGAACAAGGTTTGCGCCGATCGTGCTCAATGGAGTAAGAATCATGGTGAGTGGGCATTGTTGGGCGGTGTCGAAAAAGTTGATGCAATAATCGATAACGGTTTACTGCAACCTGTGACTACTTATCTCCGCCAGTGTTCAAGTGTGGCCTTGAAATGTCTGAATAATCTTGGTGTTATGGGTATAAAGTCACAAGTGCAGCCCATATATACCATTCTAGCGACTCTCCGAGACCCAGTGAGCCTTGCAATGTCATCTCGCCAACCTCGAGGTCCAACTGCACAGTCATTTCCACCTCGTCAACATTTCACAACCCCATCTACCTACTCTCAACATGCTCAAACTACACTACGCCAACCAGCCCCGAGTGCCCGGACTTCCACATCGCCGGTAAGTGAATGTAACGACTCAAGTCCTCACCACTGCTCACTACTATAATATCAGCTATCTGTAGTAGGAGGGTCCACTCGTGTGACTCCACCGAGTTCCCATTCAATGGTCGTCCGGGATTCCCATGATTTCTCTCTCGCATTATCTATCCAGGCTGCTCAAGCCGATACCAGAGAATGCTCCTGGTACGGGGTGTGGTCCAAAGTCTTGGAAAGATATATATTCCGTAATGCGGATGCACCCCGAACAGCGTGCACCTGCATTCCGCAGTATTCCCTCGTTGCATCCCATGATTCAAGTCGCTCGCCGCAGAGTGGTAGCTCCGGTTGGTCTGACGTAGTCATGGGCAGCCCTTCACAAGATCGGCATTCGATGACTCTAGGGAGCCCCCTTCCTGGACCACCCTTAGTGCCATACAACCATACCCCAGATTTTAGTCCTGATCCACAGGCAATTTTCGGAGGACCACTGCCTCCCCTTACACCTAGCCCTCCACACTCAGGCTCGTTGCGTCATGTACCGTACCCTGAAAGTCCTATTGCACAGCGTGTCACTCGTTTGCAATCTCTTCATGCGAAGGATGCTTCCAACCTTCCAGTCAACACCCGTCCACTGCCTCAATCCTCATCGCCATATCAAATTCCATTAGGTGGTATTCCCCCAACAACTCCACCCAGACAGACTACCGGCTTGTCGGATGCATCCTTCAGAATTCCGGACTTTGTGCAAATACTCGAGCATGCACAAAAGCCCTTCCCAGTCATTACTGGTCATGTAATCCGCCGGGTGATCATGATAGTTGAAATCAAACCGGAGCCACCTGCCGGTACGATGTTTAAATGGGAACGTATCTGGAAGAGTCAAGTACAGGAGCAGGTTCTTCATGCATTTGAGGCTGATCGTACTCTCAAATACTTGGGAGTCATCATAGCTGCTGGTCGTCGTTGGGTGTATAGCACTGTGGACCGTAGCGATCTAGTTCCTCGGACAATGTCAGAGAAGCGCGATCCAACTTGGCGCGGCACTGGACCGCGAGTACCATCGTCTGATGACTCCGTGGTAGAGGAGAGGGAAGTCCAGCGTGTTATGCCCTCGTTGAACTCCCTCGACTTTCTCCCCAAAGCAGAGAATGGTACCTTGTATCAATTTGATCTCCTGGACGCCAGGGGAGAGTCTCTTAGAGCCTTTAAAGGGATTTTAGATGACCTGCGCTATCATAACAGTGATATTTGGATCTAGGACATCTTGATAACGCAGTCAGGAGGGATGTGGGATCATCGCGAAGTGGGATGGACGTAGAAATATAAGCATGCGGTGTACAACGATGTTAGGTAGAATGTCACAAATATAGATAATATTGTGGTCATGTAGTCGCTACATGCAGTAGGATTCGATGAAGACGCCATGAATGGCTGTTATATATCAACCGTTTTGAAAGTACGCCATCCGAAATGTATATGCCTCAATCGTACAAAGGTATGAAATCATATCAGTTGCAGAAAAATATTATTGGTGCCCAATGAGCAAACTGCGACTCTGAATAACACCATGACTGTCGCTCTGACTTGGAGTTAACTAGTGTTAATTTTGACTAAGTAGCCTCAATTGCATGATATTCTCGAACGCGAAGGATGAGGCGTGGTCCTAGCACAAACAGCTGTGCCATCTCGAAGATTTGAGCGAAACCATAATAAATCTGAATGTTTAGGGAAAACACGTCCTATAGAATTAATGGATCATAGTTGCACGTAGAGGTCAGTGATAGATCGACATACTGCTAAAAGTGTTGAAGATAATAAACCAGCAATCTGAAAGCAATAGATGACTAAAAAAACTAGCGCGTGCAAAACTTCAGCGAAACAAGAGAATTACATTCACATCATAGCTCACCTTGCAAAATAACTAACATGAGTTTGCATTAACACCGTAAAACAGTCCTCAGTAATACTTCTTGTTGCAGTTCACGGAAGTGCTTTACAGCAATCCGGACCGCGAGACATAGTGCAAGGACTTCCCATACAATCAGCACCTTTCTAGATCGCTGATATATGGCATGCAACCGAGCGATCATGATGACTTGCATGGTGTTCAGTCAAGTCAACATCACGAAGGTGTAAAGCTCACTGCCCAGTGTTACTTCTACAACCTGACTTGTCCAATTAAGTGCATCGTATATGATAAGGCCTGACAAATTCAGCAACATTGGCTATCAGCTTCGGAGGATCACAAGCTCGTAACAAACTCACAACTGCAGGAGTCGTTATATTGAACCAACGAGTTGTTCGAGAATCTCACTCACCTCTGCATGCTAGTTCAGTTGTTTGGACGGGAATGGAAGACATAAATTATTTATACTCACTGTGTCTGACATTGAAGCTGTTGGAACACTGACTGGATGCCACCCGTCACAAGAATGAAACAGAGTCTGTGTGAAGAGACATACCAAATAGCAACACCCTGATCGTGAGAGATGGGTGATGAGCGCGACACCAATGGCTTAGATGTAGAAACGTACACAGCATATCCTATTGCAACATATCGCACCTAGGATATGTTCGAGTCAGTCCAACTTGTTAACCATGCTTAAAAACACAAGCTACATACAATGAGATACAATACGGTCATCAGGGACCAGTGTTGCCTCTGCCGCGGATTGGTTGTGGTATTTTCACATCGTTCTCTTGATGTGGGAGTCCGCTCACCCAGACCAGTTCCACCTATAAATTTATTCTGAGCTAAATGGCTGCTCCTGTAACGGTGTCGACCTACTTCTTGTCCGAACGTAAGTACTAGAAATTCCACGATGTCAGTAATCTTTTTATACTTGATATCGCTCACCCCAATCGTACATTATTGCAGCACAAGCCGCAACTGAGAAACCGCAGCCAATTTTAATCAAATTATCACGATCATCATGCGGCTGGCTCTGAACAGACTTAAAAAATAGCTGCTAATAAGATTCGCATTGATGACTGGCCATCAACTGGGATCATTCGAGACTAGGGTCATGCTATTAGAGGATGGGAGTGAGCGAATGAGGGAACTTAATGGACGTATGATGATGGCATTCAGGGTTAACGTTGAGATTTGGAATTTGAGGGACGATATCTAAATGATTGATGTGCTTCAGCATAATAATTTCAGTAGGCTCATCTAGTGACTCTAGTCGGATCAAAGTAGAAGTTGTCGGTGAAACTGCAACTTTGTGAAAGCAGTGACTTCCTAGGCTCGGGACTCGGATAACCACGAACAAGTCGGCATGTGGCGTACGTATATAGCCAGGCTGGTCAATGATTTGGCAGTGCGAAACACGGAGTTTGAATTTCAGCAGTGCCGTACCTGTCAAAGTACTACTTAGTGCTAATAGTTACCCGTCTACTATCAATCACAACTGCAATATGCTCCACCACCTGAATCTTTAGTATGGACAGTGGACTCTCACAGTCTCAGCAAGGAGGAAATTTCTCTCTTTGCTGAAAACACTCCGTGGTCATAAACCTCTTGACACACCATCTCAGAAAAGCCTGGTATGACCACGTGGAGAGATGGAATTTTCCGAAGTAATGCGTTCACGAAGTTTCTGAGTGTGTTAGAAGCCGCAGCTTGAAGGATCATATGCCTTCCTGCAAGTACAGATAAGAGAGCCTTGAGTTGAAATTACTTTGGATGTTTAGTGCCCTTCAAGATAAAATCAAGGTGCGCAAAAGCTTCGAGTACTTGCCGGAACCAATGGAAGCGTGCTTGTCAAGTCCGTTGGAGTGTTGTCGAGAGCATTCAAAGAATCAAAGCAGATGTGGACATGGACAATACAATACAGAATTGGGTTGGTCATAACTTACATGGAGATGCGGTAAAACGGCTAGTGTCTGGGCAATGTCTGTATGTAAGACGACACTCAGGACAACCGGCACCTGCTAAATTTTCATTTGAGCCAATCATGGCGATGAAGGCATTGTTGTCTGGTAAAGGTTCGTCTGGCTGAAGTTGTTTGAAAGCAATGGTCCCCATGTCCCAAAGTTCCTTCTTGATAAGAGGAAACCCAAACAGCCAACGATTGCCGCATGGAGCCCGGGAAGGCTCTATGAGAACGTACTGAGTTACGTCTGGAGTGTATTTAGAGGGCACCCATTGCACCTTAGTAGACGTTTCTTGCGAGTCAGAATCTGAAATCTTTGGACGAAATGAGTGGCAGTAGTAAGTACGCGTCAAATTAATTGAAGATGAAGAAGTCACTCACCTGAAGTCCTCTTAGACTTTGTTCCAGTTGGCTTGTAGTAGAGGTCATTTTCGAGCTCTGCATGGTTCGGCGAATAAAATAAACTTGACTGAGCTATGAAATACGCCATTGATGCGGAATTTGAACGCGGCTCGCTACACGTTCAACTTACTTCGATGGGGATAAGAAATCGAACAGAGTAAACAAACTATGTTATACATACTAATGCCTCTACCCAGCGGACGTTTCGAGGGTGGGGTCCCGTCCTAACCTTGAGTAAGTACATTGGACAAGCAGCGACATGGTCCTTATAATACTAATTTTCATCTGTAGCAAGTGTTTTGCAGCCGAACTTGAAGAGTACCGTAACTCGATTTCGTCGTCTGCCTTCCTTTGTCATCTATCTATCGGAGTTCTTTCACGAACCCTTACAAACTCTGGTCAACAAACTGACGGTAGTAACTCTGCCATATATTACATCTCCGAGTTGCTCACCTAAATCTCAACTCTTCGATCATCTTGTGGGCGCCCGCCTGGTCCATTGTGACTTGGCATAATGAGTAAGATCGTCATCTGATGATCCATTGATTGTTCTATTACTTCAGGCGCAGCACGGCTGCCGTGTGCTATATTATATTGCTGACTGCAGCTGTCTGCGCGAGGGTTGGACCTGTCTGAACAGCACGTCAGTGCGCCGAGAACAGCCCGAGCGCGTCGATGAGCCTCGAGGAACGTAAAAGTGGTCTTGTAAATAATGTGATAAGCAATCAAATCTGTTTACCCGGTGGCGCATCTTGGTTCAGGAACAGGCCAGGGGTAGAAGGAACCCCTACTAGGAAACTCGGCGAAGATACTCAGCATTTCTTACCGAAAAGGCATTTGGCTCGATGGCCGTTGACGTGATGAAGTGATTGGTTCTACCGCAAAAAATAAATGAGTTGGTAGAAATGGGGCACTTAGGTGACACAGCCAGTCATGGAACAATGGCGGAATATTTTTTTCATCAAAATTGCTAATGCAAGGATGTCAACCGAACAGCTCTCGAAATGAACGCGTATACGCACCGGAACTTCCACCCACCACCCCGGTGACCGCTTGAGCTTCATCTCCAGGGAATACACTTGACTTGGCGTTGGACAGGTCGCCTCAGGTTCTGTATCCCTCCACAATACTAACAACAGCACCTTTCCCGGCGACCACATACACTCCGCTGGGATATTCTTCGAGTTTCCAACCACCTTTCCATGTGCCCTAGAACAGACGCGAAGACTGAGATATACCTTGATAAATCTAAGGGAATTCATCGCGATGAAGGCATTATTGTCTGGTAAAGTTTCTTCTGGCTGAATTTGTTTGAAAGCAATGGTCCCCATGTCCCAAAGTTCCTCCTTGACAAGAGGAAACCCAAACAGCCAACGATTGCCGCATGGAGCCCGGGGAGGCCTTACGAGAACGTACTGAGTTACGTCTGGAGTGTATTTAGAGGGCACCCATTCCACCGCGGTAGATGCTTCTTGGGAGTCAGACTCTGAGACCTTTGAACAAAATGAGTGACAGTACGCGCCAAATTGATATGAGTTGAAGAGGTGACTTCACCTGAAGTCTTACTAGACTTTGTTCCAATTGGCTTTCAGTGGAGGACATTTTCGAGAAGTGTTAGCGAGAACAAACTTCGATGTAGTAATAGGTAAGTCCGAATACACCACTAGCTGCCGTGGATGCCAATCATGCATGTGTTGATTGTTTTGCCAATTGTGCTCGATGGAGTGAGCGGACGTCGGTCTAGGGAAAACAGTCTTTTCTTCTCGGTTGTGATAATAATATCATCCCATGAGCGACTCGGAGTCTGGAGATCTGGACGTCGCTGTGACTATTAGTATTAGTGTGACCGTGACGGGTTTAACTTCTAAATCGTCTCGTAAAAGTTGTCCCCTACCATGGGCGACTCAAGCTCTCAATAACTCAAGTTTCCAAAAAAGAAAATGGGTGGTACTTCAGCACAACTGCTGCCCATGCGGAATACAATACAAGTCGTCCGATGACAACCTTCCAGCCAGCAATCCGAGCTGATACTGCCGACTTTCAAATGTCACGGTTCACCACTCCTATTCTCCCCTCAGTGGAGTGACACTTCGCCGTTCTGTGCTGGAGGCTACGATAGGAACACCACGGATTGTGGACAGACGCTTTTGGGACGGGGCGTGTTGTTTTACTGAGCCCAAGAAACGTTGCTTCAGCAGCTCCCGCGTCAACTCTTGGGCACCCCTCCCTGCATGGAGAGGAATATCGACATTTAGCCTTGCGGTCTTCGGTCGTATTATCTTGCTTCTTGGAACTCACCCAATGCGCACGTATTATTTGTCTCCGGTGTCTACTATGGGGCTTCGGTCCAACTGCAACGGACAATAAACGTTTGTTCCTACTCACTGAGGCGTGTTCGCCTTTGCAAGTAGCTTGTACCTAGACTCGTACTGACGGACTTAGTAAACACATTTATTCTAATCGACACGGGAGTCTTCGTATCTATCGAATGCACTATCAATATACATGCTTAGTCTGCCGTCCTTGAATCTATCCAAATCAGCTATCAATGCCTTATCAAATTACACTACCAAGGTCCAATCGCCCGCATTACAAAAATGGCACATTCTTCATCTCCCCCGTAGCAAGAAAATCCTCATCAAACGCCTCCTCAGCAGCCTCCTCCTCATTCTCTCCACCCTCCACTTCCCCGTCATACCCATACCCCTCCTCCTCTTCATCCCTACCATCCTCCCCAAACTGTCCATCATCCAACGACCCAGGCATACTCGTCATACTTGTGCTCCTCGGACGCCGTTTCCGCACACTCCCATCTTCCACATCTGCATCCTCTTCATCAGAATCCAGGAACGTAGACGATGACGACCGCGAGTCGATGCCGCTGGATGAAGACGACTGCGCCAGCGCTGCCAGTCTACCGCTGAGACGCTCGAGAGAGGAGATCTGCCGCAGATGTGTACTGCGCAGACCCATCGTTCGACTCGGCGTGCCCTCGCGCGCTAACACAGGCGGTGGAAGTGAAAACTGCGTCATGTCCCTCGATTGTCTCCGCCCTACGAGGCTGAAGTTGCGTAACCGTGCAAGTGTACTCTGGTTAGACGTATCTGATCGCGCGCTCAGGGCGGGGGAGGGAGGTGTGAGGTCAGGAAGGGCAAATTCCTGGACTGGCATTTTCCAATAATTAAAATCCGTGAACTCCACTGCCCATTGGCGATTTATCGGAGGGAACATCTGATCAACAATGTCAGTCATATGTATATACCTAAGAAGAGATAAATGAGTGCGCCGAATACATGAGCACAACAAATTACGGACGATGACTTGTACCCTGCGAGCTCGAGGAGCTCCATCTTGACCTCACCAGAGGAATCTATAGTGAATATCCTCGCACTCGGAACATTCACGCTGCGATATGACAGCGCATCCGTTATCCGGTTTCCAAACCCGGCATAGAACGGCGTGCGCGAGCTCTCACCGAAAAGACGCTGAATGTCCCTCAAGCATGCCATTTTGAATACTTCGGGCTTCCGCATGATCACCTCGCTAGTGCACATCAGCATCTTCCCTCCCGGATGATTCAATCATCTTACCGATGCAGTGACGCCATCAATCGGTCGGGGCTCATGATGACAGGGCCTTCAGGAAGTTGATAGTCGTCCTGCTTGATACCCTTCAGATAATCGCGCGTAGAATCTGCCTGTCCGATAGCTCGTGAGGTAAGGTACATGATCTTGTACCCGTTGCGCCTGATATCAGTGTATAACTTTGCAACACCGGAATGAGTCCAGTCGCGGCCAATCATAGCGAATACATGACCTAGCCCATCAGACCTGCGGAAAAGCCAGGTTGGACGAAGACACAAACAAAGGGGAGAAACCTACTTGGTGATTGTACCATCTATGTCAGACACGACGACAAGATCAGTCGAGTCCCATACAAATATCCGCGCCGTACATGCGGGCACAGTAGAATTAGAAAGGGAAAACGTGATTGTATTGGCACCAGGCTTAAGGTCGAGGGATTTCTGGAGAGGACATCATATATTTAGAAGCTGCACGGAATGTTGAAGACCCACCAGTTGATCAGAGGTCAACCGCAGCGTCTTAGCATACCTCTTCCGTGTCCTCGTAATCTTTGCCTCCAACGCCTTACTCAAGGGCTCCATGATGCCAGGAGCGGGTGTGGCAGGAGGGGCAGACACAGATTGAGGAAATGTCATATGACGAGCCACAATAGGAACATGTTTTGGCAGTGGCTGGAAAATCATCATGAGCCGCTATCTTTCTGAGTCTCACGAAACTCACAGATTCCATCGGAGAGGTATTCGACACCCTTAAAGGAGGCCGATCAGCCTCTGTTATATCCCGGCTTCGAATCCACCATCTAACCCAACTGCTCGACGTTGGTTTCCGGTGCGCTTCCGGCGGTTCAGAATCCGCACGCTTCATCTCTCGTTCGTCCCCACTCGATACCGGTTCCCGTTCATCGGCACTGCTCACCATTTCTTCCTCCCTCTGTTCTACACGCTGGTCTCGTGCTTCTGTGATGGCCAGCGGGGGCTCAGACATCGCCCTCGATGGTTCCTTCGGCGCATTCTCAACCCATAACCTCAAAGCATCCATCAACGGACTCCCGTCTTCCCTCGTGATATACTGCCCGCCCGCCCACTTAATCACCAATCCCTCATCCTCTACCACTCTCGTCCTCACCTCCCCGATCACCACCTCCTCAGAGACAAGTTGCATATAGTCGATTCTCCCTGCCTCGAATAGACGCACGACTTCTACTTCATCACTCCCATGGAAGATCCCGCGTTTTGTTGTAGGTACAAGTGAGAGAGCAAATGACAGCGCCTGGCCCTCGATGTGAACGAGGAACGTACGTGAATCAGATGGGTGTGTGGTAAGAACACCACCTGAACCAAATCCGTACTCAGGGAGTGGGAGTGGTGGATGATCACATCTGATTTCGTGTTCCTGCTCATCTTCAGGAGTATGTGCTTCGTCCTGAGGTGGTAGAGACGAGCGGATGGTATGTGGACTGCCTTCGAGCTCAAGCGGGACACTCCTACTACGCGTCAAAAACTCTTCAGCGTCAAAAGTCGACTGGCGTGTGTTCATCCATAGTGGGTGCTTTACCCATGCGCAATAAATGGGTAGACGGGAAATGTGTCGCCATAGGTGAGGGCTGGGGGAACGCGCCCCATTCCCAGGAATACTGAGGAAGCGGGATATCATCTTGGGATTCTGAAACAGTGTGGCAGGTAAGAAACGTAGTTGCGGGAAATGATGGAGAGTGTTTGCTCAGAGGGGAAGCGACTGGAGGAATGGTTGATGGGAAGGGGATCGCAGTTGGGGTTGGAGATGGTGGATCTGTAGCTTATTAGCTCGGTATATGGCGAGTTACATAAAACTCACGAGATATACGTGAGGAAGACGCGTCGCGTGCTTGAGCAGAATGATATCCATCCATATCAAGCGCGACATCTGCAACGCCTTGAGAATCATATCAAATATTGTGTGTAGGACGCACGCACCAGCCTTGTATTGAACTTCTGGACCGGACACATCGGTTGGTTGTGCTACAGGATCCTCTGGTGGAGGGGTATGAGGAACGCTCCTCGAGCCGAGCTTCGGTTGCGCGCCTGCATGGATTGGAATTGGATGTTTCAACACAGACGAAGCATTCAAATCGAGAAACTCAGGTTCCTGCATCTGTAAACTCAGATCTGACTTCTCTTCCCCACCCGGTTTCGCTCCAGATGTTTCATGTTCAAAGTCATCCTGAAGTTCGCCTGGTTCCGGGGTTGGGGAGAGCAGAGGACTTGTAACAAGGTCTTCTGGGATATCTTCTTCTGTCTCGAACACGAAAAATGCTTCTCCTGCGTCTCCTATTTTCATGTTGAACGGGATGAGCGAGCCATTTATTGATACGTTGACCTATTCCCAGCCATTCATGATCCATTGAACACCTTTACGAAAAGAGCAGACAATGCGCACCTTCTTTTCAGCGGGTCTGAGTACCTGAAGCTTACCGAAACGGACGTGAAATGGAGAGCAGGCGTAAACATCGCCGTCTTGTGAACCGGAGCTAGCAGATAAAGTGGGCGATGGTGGGCGTCGAATAACGATGACATCGATGGCCCCAGTCAGGGTCGATGGGTTGATATCTTTGTAGTACTGGTATGGGGCACTAATCGCGCTCACAGCGCCACGAATGTAGTTCATCGCGTTCGCGATGTCGTGTCAGTGTTACAGGTAGTTCGAGTTCGTTGCTGGGGTCCACGCGGCGTGGATTATTAGGATATTGGGGAGATCGTAGGATGGACTATATGAAAGCTAATTGTACGTGGCTCATGGTTTGCGTGATGACACAAGCTTGTAGATTGAAGTTCCGTTGAACAAAAGGAGGAGGTGTACGTATGTAATCATCAACGTTCATGACTATTAGTAACGTCAAGCGCTGATGGCGCTGATGGATCCGTACTAAGATTCATAACAATATACAAAATCACAGGCAAGCTCTTGGGCCAGCTAGACAAATATGACATCCTCTGTCCGTCACGCCGACAAACGTTTTCTCATATATTTTTGGTCGTGATCGATTTCCATAGCACTTGTGCATAACAATAATAATAGCGGCTCATAAATCTGGGTATACTAAATACGCGATTGACGTCAAAACTAGTCAAATACCGTCAATCACATCGTCAGAATCAAACGAAGGCTGGCTGATTTGATAGCTTTCTTCATCGCTGATAGTGGACGGGGGCTTTATTTGACCTGGCAGGCCAGCCGCACGCCATGCGGCAAAACCGCCCACTATATCAGTCGCATTGAGCAACCCAAGTTCGTGAAGGGATGCCGCAGCCAAAGAGCTGGTGTACCCCTCCTGACAATATATGATTATCTTTAAATCATAGCGATCTGCGATTGCAAGTCGTGCTTCGCAACGAGGGTCAAAACGCCATTCCAGAACGTTTCGCTCGATGATGAGGGATCCGTGAATCCCGCCTTCACGAGCGCGTTGGGAAGCTGGGCGAATATCTACCAGAAAGACCGGCATTGGGTATGTGGGGTCGTGAAGGGCGTCATAGGCTTGTGGTGGAGTCATTCTCTCGAGCTTTGATCGGGCATCAGATAGAAGTTGATCAATGCTGCGAGATCCGGGTGGAGGAAGAAGAGGGTCGATGGGAGTGCGTACAGACTTGGACAATACGTCCCATAAGGCAGCGTCATCATAAGATGAGCCAATATGCCTTACAGAGGCAGCAAGGAGAGTACCCGTGTTTTGAACTGCATCGACACGTCCCAAAAATTTAGAGGATGCGAGGAGTACAGCACGCTGAACATCATCTTCATCTGACCCACAGATAACGAGCGCATTTGAAGTGCGTGCGCGGTCCCGGGTATCACGACCTGTCGGGGATGAACCAGTTGTGGCTATAGCGAAGAGATATCGGGAGGAAGGTAGTCGTGCACGGATATGGGAAGTGATAAGTCGAAGAAAGCGACCATCATCTTTCTTCGAGAAAGTGAAGTGGACACCTATGCGGACACCATCGACGGTGCGTGCTTTTGTAATCATACGGAGTGCGAGGCTCTGGGCAACCTCTTCACGCACATCTGCAAGTGTGCGTGAAATTGTTGGGAAAGTACTAGTAGCAGAAGATTGGATAAGTGTGCGCTCGACAACAACATCGGTGGATGGTTCAGACGATGGCATCGGGACATCTACTTGCTGCTAAATGATCTGCTCAAAATTATTCGTCAGTAATGTGCAATTGTGGTCTGCATGTGTCTGCTTCGTATCTGCTGGTGTCGAAAGCAAAGTGAAGGTTGCAACGAACAAGGTTACCAGCCTCGACCATAGTAGCAGTTCGGCCCGAACTTCCTGATCCGGATGTACACATGCACTTCCACGACTGTGAACCAAGCAGACACAATAATAGAAGCAAAGGTGCAATGTACACAACTGTCAGGTGCGTCAAAATAGCCACGCCCTCGGAGTTTTCCTCCTTACCATCAGTAGCGGCGACCTGCTTGGTAACATCGACTGAACTGACGATCAGCAGATGTTCGAATCACTATCGACGCTAGGCCTTGACCATCCTTGAACTCACTGCCGCCTCGAATATGTCTCGACTTCTTGCCAATTTGGCTCCCGAAGACGTGACGACCATGTCGATGCAGCCCGCCAATTCGGTAGCCGAGATGACTCTAACATCAGTGATGTCAGAGAGTCCCAAATACGTCACATCCATATTTTACTTTCCAGATGGCGGCCAGCATGTCATCAGCAAATCCAACGCAAAAGAAGCACTGTGCATAGAAGCGAGAAAGGAGACCGAAGAAGTGCATGCAGTGCATGTGGCAGTATCGAGAGACAATCGATGGGTCATCAATGCATCACTACTGGAGAGGATCTCGATTTCGGCGAGCTCAAAGAAGTTGAGAAGAACAAAGATCCGAAACAATCACTGCCTACATCTATATCTTTACTGGCAACAAGCTACCATAGTGAGCGAGTCGTTGGATTTGAACGATAGCAAACCCATGGCTGGTCCATTTGGAAGTGCTAATCTTATTCATGCAGTTCGAAGAAGCTCGCAGGAAGAAGAGGTACCTCGAGGTGTGGGACGGGACGCTCGACAGGGATCTTGTTGCTAGGCGCAGTAAACCATTAATACATCATCTTTTGCCCCTAATCCACACATATCCACAGAACGCCCCTTTTCATCTCCAGACTCCCTTGCTTTTCTTCTTGCACGAACGCGAACCGTCTATTGGCATCAGTAAACCGGTGAGTTCTTGCTGGGGATTATGCTAATTATGGTGCTTTTACATAGTCATATATTGCTTTATATCACTTTATATTCCAATGTGACGAAAACCTTTCCTATATATTACGATATATAACGATATATGACGATATCTTCTTCTCACAGGTTCTCTGATGGCCCGCCTTCGAGCCTTGCAATCCCCCAGACGTACGTCTTCCAAAGTTCATTCGCTGTGAAATACGTTTGATGTTTGTACTGTAATATTATACACTCAGGTGGAGCTGGTTGTGATTCCATAATTACAGGCCGTGAAATTGTGGTAGAGATAGAGTCCAAGGTCAATCAAATCATTATGAAGGCTCGCGCACAGTGGCCTCGTCTTATTTGCATAAGGATGGACGGCCACAATGACAGGACGTCCGAATATCATACCCAGTCAGGCAGTTTAACATTTCCGACCTACGGAGCTGCTGGCCAAGAGTTATGATGATCTATAATGTTACTGATAAGATATCGGGATAGTGGCAAGAAATCATCTCCCCGGAGATCCATACAAGGGGTATCACGGTATACCGTATACATGGTCAAAAAACACTAGTTGAAACACTCGAAATATCGGACTGAAATAAAGGCAAGAGACTCAGAACGAAGGCGAGGATACAAGATATGGTAAGCAATTGAAGACTAGAACATAATAATTTTTCACAATCAGTATCACAAAAAAAGCAGTCGAAGACGGCGGATGCCAATTCATCGTGCAACTAGTGCAACTTCTGGTGGTCGCAATACCCGTCATAGGCAGCCTGGGCGTCCCCTAAGAGAGTCTTCAGAAGTGTGCTCTCACTCCCGTTGAAACTTCCATCATTCCAATCGCCGGGTTCAAAATGCATCTTTTCGCCGTCCTGTAGCCTTGACAGAATGATTGATTTCCAACTCTTCCACACTTTGGTGTCGTTTGGGAGGAGATCATCAAGTACCTTTGCTGGATTTGACGGATTCAACGCCAGTAGAACGAAGACTGCCATGGTAGTGCGCGTGCCCAACATATATTTCGTCATCAGCGGGCGCTTGAGGACTACATCCACCAGCAGCCTCCTCTGGATCTCCGATTTGTCGAACGATGACAACCATGAGGTGTATGCAAAGGAGACTGCAAGCGAGGCTAAGAACATGATCTGTCCGAAGAGCGTGGCCTGTGGTATGAGCAGCAGCTGTGTGATGCATTGGGTCGTAAGGATCGACGAGCATATGCCGATGTTTCTGTATTCTGTCTCACTGTCGAAGCTTAAAGAGAATTTCCCACGGGTAATGGAATTGACAGCGCCCTCTTGACCAAGTAGGACGATGGTATTGTTATCTGCGAGGAGTAAGCCATCACCTCGCGGCGCTCCCGGGGCTGGGATGGGATGAGAGAAAGTGAAATTTCCGGATCCGAGGACAAGACATGATAATCCGTTTGCGACGATTCCGAGCAGGATCATACTGAAGGAGTACCAGTCTTCAAAGAGAGCGGACGCAATGCAGGTGCCGATGGATACTGACATAGGGATGAAGGCGAAAACGCTGGTGTATTTCGTGAGTTGCTTTGGTGTCGTGGTTGCATCAGGGATGTAGTGGAGGTCAACGATTGTGACTCCAACTGGTTGAGTTTTTCTGCCTGGCACATCAATGCCCCGCTCCATCTGGCATTCTTTTGCCATCAAAGAAGCGAGGGAACCAGTTTCGGGGAGAATTGACCCAGACTCTATACCCTTGAACTGTGGGCCCTTCGAACCATCCAACCCGCCCAGCGTAGCAGCGTTTGTGTTGACGCCCGGGAATGAACCATCCCAGAAACGCGAGTTGGCGAGTTGGCTACACTTCTTGGCGATAAGGTATGATCCTGGTGAATTGTACCATCCCAACCATTTTCTCCCTTGGTACACGTGTATGATCGTCATCGCGGAAACAGCTTCATCACCACCGAAAAACCCTGCTACTCCAGAGGCATCAAGAGTGAACTTGGAACCTGAAAGAGGTATACTAGACATTGTTGGCTGGATGAGATTTCTGAATATGTACATGTTAGTATGGGGATGTTCTGGTTTGCTGAGCGGTCGCAAACGAGTGGTTATATGAACACGCACAGGACACAGGTTGAAAGTTGAGAACAGCCTTGTGAGCGATGGGCGCTTGAACCTGGGAGTTCTAGAAGTGCTCTTAAACGGTAGCCTTGTCTAGGCTGTAGTACACCTGTCAAATATGTCGGAATACTGTAAGGTCAACGTCAAAGACGAACATATATACCCTGCAGCCTACAGGTGGGGCTGTACTACCAAGTGGCAAGGCGCCACTGAGGCGTATCCTCTATCTAGGGTAATTCCGAATGACGTGATGGCAACACATTCCAGCAATACATGAACAACATCAAGGCTTTTCATTTTCTACCCGATCTTACCAGCTATACATCGCACCTGGCCGTACTAAGCTGTTTCTACTAGGGGTGACGGCTGCGCGCTTCCTAGTACAAGGATGATCGGGCTATCTCAGATTCGAGCATACAGCAAAGTGGATTGAGTTTTAAATATTCGAATGTGCGCTTGTTAGTGTGGCCAGTGTTGTTGCCATCCGTGGCAAAATATGGCAGTTGGCAATCTGTGGAAGCATGGGGAAGAGGTAGTAACATAATTGTCGGAAGAAAGTTCCTCCACGTGCTGTATAGTAGGAGCAGTGACGGACAACAAATATCCAACCGGACACTGGACTGTCACGAACTGGTCATCGAACTCGAAATACCTCAAAGAACTTGCATAAAACACGACGAACGTCCCGTCATCAGGGAGCTCCCTGATCCGACACAACACGAGGGCGGGGCGAAGACAACGAGACTGCAGCCATGACAAATTAAACTTTGAATGCGATGGTGATATCATGTTCATTGATTATGTGATTCAGACATTCAGAGAGGTCGAAAGAGCTGACAAATCAAGAACAAACATGAACAATCCGGACCGGCTATGAGTATGAGTCCCTGTGTGATCGCGACATAAAAAATTGTTATTCCTGTGTAATACCCTTTTCGGATCCTCGGGTTTGTTTTGACATGTACTTACGAGGAGTTCAGTTCTCATTTATTGTGAATCCTCCAAGCATGCCCGCGGCGCCCTAGAGCCACCACCAGTGGTGCGAATCGATTCAATCATAAACAGCGTGTCTCAAATTCCATTTCGTTAGTAACCAAATATGCAAACAAACCCCAAAGACTTTGAGTGAGTATTAGATATGAGGATCAAATGATGAACTTCAGAAGATTTAGTATGATTATCATGTAGCATCGTCCAGATACCAGATGACCATCGCATTGTCACAGCAACTTACTCATTCTGAGATCTGCCTGCCATGACAAAACCTCAGCTGGCTGCTGTGCCAGTTCTGCCCACAGCACAACCTCAGCTTAGCACTTGAATTTCGAAAGACCAGGACCAGTCATCCTGCACAACCCTCGAGCACCGAGTCATAGGTCTGATGGATTCCAACAGTTGACGCACAATGACAACAATGAGGTATAGCCTCGCCCCCCTTGCGGCTCCCGTATATGCATTGATCAGCCAGGCCATTGTAAACACGCACCGCATGTACAGGTTTTATAAACGCTGTTCATCTATCTTTACCGCCTCGCACAGTCAGTATCAAATACTCCGAGGCGTGGTTTGTCTAACTCACGATATACAGGTTGCACCAATTTCATTCCATGAATATTATTTGCTACAGTTGTTCAGTAAGTAACAAAAGGACAAACGAAACCTCCTCAGGAAAATGTTGACATCATCAGGCCCTCGAGGCCCGTGTGCCTTGCATAGTGCAACTCAAACCATGTACTGATCCGACATCACGAGCTCGTAGCTCGCGCCGTTGAGCATTAGAGGCTGGTTCTTATGTGACGGCGACTAGTCTGCTGACTTTGCATGAACGAACCCTCGGGGCCCCGCCATGATTGCAGAGTTTCGATGGTTCATAAAATGCAATTAATGCAAGACGCCAAAAGAAAAACACGGTGAACAAAAATAATGAAAGATGACCATGTCTCAGCGCACCGGTCAAACACGATTTAAATAGCGACATCAAGAAGTTGCCATCGTTGACTCCAGGAGGCGAAATGCAAGGTATTCCATCCATGTGAATTTTTGTCACGTCGAAGGAGCGAAGTCTTGGTCCTGAGAGTCGAACGCCGTGGTTTAGAAAATGCAATCATATAAGTGGTCTTGGCACAGACCTGTGTGATCCGGAATCTACGGGAGAGAGAGAAAGAAAATTTTCTATACATATTTATATACCGTTAAGGCGCCTTGCTCTGAATCTCCGGGAGGCTGACGTGTACGCGGTAGGCCGGCGCCGTTTCAGTGAGCCCGGAGCCGGACCGTGGTGGCGAACGTGCGAGACACTCCTAGTCGCTTTCGGGATGCACATGCAGGGTTGAAATCGAACTTACTGTTATTAGATGCTACGATTGTTATCGACGACAGCTCGAGTGGATCAAGAGTGGATCAATATCGATATGGATGATGTCAACATGTACAAATTTATATATCTTCTGTTCGATTACTCATGATGCTATTATCAACGTTTCATCTCACTGCACCCCTACTGGTACACGCACCGGTCCCGAATGCAGCTCGCAGAAATTTAATCTTTTTATGCCGTAGTCCATGGAGTTCGCCCAAAAACGTGCACTTCCGTTCACGAAGGACAGTCTCAAGAACTCCCACTGTCACTTGTAATAGGCCAGAGTGACAAACGTGCTTACCATCGAATCCCATTGACCCCTTCTAGGATGTGATAGTTGCCACCAGGCCGACTGCAGCTGTGCACACTGCTCCCTATTAATAATGGGAACTACAACCCGATACCCCAGCATCTAACCACTTCTCCGGAAACTCATGAGGGCGCGAAGTCTGATTTTTACCTTGGGGTCATGCTGCATTGCGAGCCTCGCGTCCCCTACTCAGGTTGTACTGGGCACATCACAGGTTGAACTTCGTATGTGCTTCGTGGTCATTTCAATCACACCGCTGGTCGCTCAAATGATTGAAAGAATCTTCCCCTAGGCAGCTTCACGGTCGTTTTCTGCACATCACAGATATCCACCCTGATCCGTTTTATGAACCCGGTGCATCCCAATCCTCTGCATGCCATCGACCCGATTTCAAGGACGAGCGTCCGGCAGGTTACTACGGAACACCTTATAGGTATGTTAATTATCCTTATTTTTGATCTGTTGCCTGACATTCGTTTCTGTCTAGCTTCTGTGACTCACCGTTCAGTCTCACAAACTTCACGCTTGACTTTTTGGATGAACATTGGAGCTCTGAAATCGATTTTGTTATTTGTGAGTGTCTAATCTAGCCCATTTGCCTTATTTGACTTCGCTCATTTGCCGCATAGGGACTGGCGACAATGCAAGGTTTGAAATTGGTGTTGGATCTCTTGAGATGCAATCTAATCAAGAACATCTAGACACGACAACGATGACGATATACCACGAACCCTTGACGAAATTTATGACTTGAATCGCGCTGTAGCTAAAAGGATGGAACATGTATTTTTGAAGAAAGGCATCCCAGTCGTGCCAAGTTTGGGTAGGTCTGTTGCGCCTCTTCGCAGAGACTTCCTGAACAATGCATCTTCTATCAGGGAACAATGACATATGGCGTAAGCGCTTCTAACATTCTTCAGCACACGACAAGTATATTGACTGTCGACTGATATAGCTCATGTGAGAACAGCGTATCACGGGCTCTTCTACTGATCCCATTTACCTTGCTATCAGAATAGATTATCTGCTGGTATGATTGTTGCTATCCTTCCGTTCAACGCTAATCTGTAGCAAACAGGACCTAATGAAATTATAGAGGAGTTCTCTTCGTACGTCTATCGCAGATTTAGCTACCTCCGAGGTCTTATAAAAAAATCAGGATATGGAGTGCATTTATACCCCCGACGTCATCAGCATCATTTCATCAGGGAGCATACTTCTCAACGGAGATCATACCTGATGCGGTGGCTGCTATCAGCCTTAATACCTTGTACTTTTATAAGAAAAATCACGGCAAGTGACGCATAATTCTTGGTTGGCCTACTCGTTGATGTACAACAATTAGCTGTCGGAGGATGTGATTATACCGACCCAAAGGACCCTGGAACTATCCAGCTTGATTGGCTTGAAGAACAACTGGAGGCATACCGTTCTCGACAGATGCAGGTAAGAATTCTCAAATATCTTCCAAAAATACTTTTTCATGTTGTCGGGTAGGTGTGGATTACGGGTACGCCATAGATCGCTCCCTTGAACCCTGACAACTTTTCATATTCGTCAATGCAGGACATGTACCTCCATCCGAAGCGAACTACTTTTCTGAATGCGTGAGTACTCTACGTAGATATGGCATCAATCATCTCAACCTCGTCAGTACCCCCGATTCGTAGAGTTGAACCTGCGATTCCAAGACACGATTTTGGGTAATTTGTATGGGGTAAGATTCATTATTCGTTCCAGGTAGTCGAAGTTGATTTTGGTGTTTCAGCACCTAAACGTTGACCACGTACGCGCGGTTGCTTCACAGCCACGCTTGGTTTACTAACTCAGTGCAGTTCTCTTTCTTGGACGCTGATGAGATCAACACGTCTTCGAAGACCTCATCACGCGGTACACTCTTTGAGACGCTCATCGCTGATTTTTCGGAGATACCGGCACCCCTCGAGGATACTCGCTACGACGACTATGCAGTGGTGAACGTCAACGCTGCCATTGTACCAAATCCCTACATTCCATCTTTCCGAATTTTCACGTATAATATCACTGGACTATCGACACTCACGAAGGATATCGGCTCTGATCCATATCTTCAAATGATAAAGGCCACTCAGCGGCGACGTGCCTTGAACCATGAGCAAGTTCGCACATTCAAGAAGCCGAAGTGTGAACACAAGAAGTTCCGTAACGCGTGGAGGTGCCAGCCTCACAAACTCTGGCACTCCGATAGCAAATCGCCATCAAGACACAACTCGTTGTGGTCGCCTCTAGGGTTCGCACAGGTGGGCACATACCCCACCAGTAGCTCCCTAAAATAACACATGTTATTTACAGTTTTACATGCCAAGACTGGAAGAATTCGATCAGACCCATAATCCAGAGTTCGAACTCGAATACATGACCTTCCCTCTTTCAAGCTTGCACCCCGATGAGGAAACACAGGATGTCACGAATCACCAATATGTTATTCCTCTTCAACTTCTCCCAGAAGAACTTCGCGAGCCTGGTGTTGTGGAGTCAGAGTACACGCCTTACGAGTTGAATGACTTGACCATCCCATCGTGGTTGGATCTTGCCACGAGGCTTACGAAGAACAAGGAACTTCGATTGAGGTTCAAGGAGTTCATGTACATGGGCGGTGTGGAGGAATGATTATTTCAGGTGTCTGGTTTGGAAACGGACAAGAACGTCGAGATTCAAGCTATGTATTATTGATGTATTGGTTGCAGGAGGACTGGAATGCGCTGTAATTTGTTATTTTTGTATTATGCTACACCTACATATCTTGTTTAAAGCGGTCCAGCTGTATTCTTGAACCGCAATTATCATATTTGATCAGTTCCAACTAGGACTACATCCTTTGGGTCAGAGCTCGACCGATGGCAGTGTCACAGGATCTTCCACCATTGGTGCATGCGCGCACAGCTTGTGGATGCAGTATAGTCTTCCAGGAGGTGGCGATGATCAAGACCAGTGAGTCCTTCGAATTCTTGCTCAATTTGACTTGCCTGACAACGCCAGGCTCTAGGTCACGGCTATCGATGGACTCAATTGAGTACATTGCACAACGATTTGGTAAGCTATTCCCAACTTTGACCATAACCACGACTGCAGTTTCTGACGCTAGTTCTATGAAGATCAAACATGCGGTCTATTCGAACACAGAAAATGGAAGGACATGCACAGAACGTCCCCCCTTCACCCATGATCTCGTCACCTCCAGGTCGCACTTCACGGCGCAATCCTATGGAAGTGGAATAACCCACAGCCCTGCGTGACTTATGATCAGCGCTTGGCCACATTCAGTCATTCTCTTGGTCTTCACGTGGTACGAATAGACAATATAAAACGCCTCAAGGTGGACATTATATGTTATAGTTCAAGATCGGTTCTTCGTTCTTATCCACGGGAGTTTGAACAACGCTGTTATAGCTGATTTTTCTTTCCAAAGCATACGCATACCTGTAAGTTTTCTCAGTCCGAGAGATGGGAGCATCATACGATGTGACTATTGACAGGTCCACGTATTATCATTCTTGAGCAAACTCAAAGATGGGAGGTCTATTCAGTCGGGGGCGGCCAGAAGCGCCCAGTCCGTCTCTCGTTGATATAGAAGCGCGTCAGAGAGCAGAGGAAGCTGCTGCTCAAGCGCGAGAGGATGCTGCAGCTGCCAGAGCACAGATCGCCTGAGCTCATCAAGTCGAATCAAGATTCGCAGCAAAAGTTTATGGAGGCTCAGCAGGCCTCCTTGCAAGCCGCGGCAGCCTCCCAGGAGCAGACCCATAAGGAGATGATGGCCATGGTCCAGGCCGAACGTGCCTCCAACGAAGCTCGCTTACTTGCGGAAGCTGCTGCTCGTACCGCCACCGCAGAAGCAAAGCAGAGAGCAGCGGAAGCAGAGGAGGAGCGTAAGCGAACTGCCGCTGTCCAAGAACAAGCCAAACGAGACGCTCAGGCTGCCCAGGAGCAGGCCAAGAAATTACAGGAGGCCGCTAATGAGGAGAAGAAGAAGGCGACTGCCGCACAGGTGGCGGCCAACGAGTCGAAGAAAGTAGCAGAAGAGCAAGTAAAGGTGGCCAATTCTGCCAAGGAGGATGCTGAACGCAGGTTGAAAGAAGGCATTCAACCTGTGGTGACTCCCACGCCTGCAGAAGTTAGCGCCGCCAAACGGAAAGTCCAATATCGCGAGGACCTTTTCCACTTCGCAGTAGCCGGGGTGGCAGGAGGAGGGAAATCATCTCTGATCAATGCCTTCCGCGGTTTGCGCAATAAGGACGCCGGATCTGCTGCCACTGGGGTCACGGAGACAACGCTAGCCATGGCCAGATACGCCAGCCCCAACGCGGAATACCCATATGTCTGGTACGATATCCCGGGCGCAGGCACGCTCAAAATCCCCGACTGGCAGTACTTCAACGCCCAAGGACTTTACGTCTTTGACTGCATCATCGTCCTGTTCGACAATCGGTTCACCATGACCGACATTGCCATCCTTACCAACTGCAAGCGTTTCAAGATCCCCACATATATCGTGCGCTCTAAGGCAGACCAACATATTCGTAACATCATGAAGGACATGGGGTACGACAGCGATGACGATGAGAGCGAGGACCAGAAGAAGAAGCTTTACCAGGCTGCACGGCAGCAGTTCATTCAGCAGACGCGCCAGAGCGTGAAAGAGAACCTGGAGAATGCCAACATGCCTGACCAAAGGGTCTATATCGTTTCGAACGAACCCATGCTCGGTGTCATGAAGGAAAAGCGGCCGAAGAAGGTCATCGACGAGATTGAGTTGTTGAACGACTTAATCGGAGAAGCTCAGACCAGGCGAGCACGCCGTGATGCTGAAGCAGCGACTGTTGTAAAGGAGAAGTAGTCGTCGATGATAAAGTTCTTACTATATTTCTTCCTTTGGGCTCTTGTTGATATTTCTCTGTTCTCGATACGATCTTATCGCTTGTGACCGATCTTGGCTGCCGACTCGCAGTCGGTGATGTATTTCTTTCTTCGCGCTGGTGTTGTTCGCATCTTCCTTTTTGACATGTTCATGACCTCTTGATTCTGTTCACAATACTGCTCGTAACCGATTAATCGAACTTCTCGCTGACTCCGACTTCCAAGCGATGTACCCTTGACCCGTCTCCTCTTCAATCGTGAAAGTGAGACGTACGGCATGTCGGCGCGGCGTGGTGGCACCACAAGTGCTTCAGTACTCAGTGAAGGTCGCGTTTACATTTTCGCATGATCGAAGGCGTCGTTCGTACCTTAGTGCTACGTGCCACACGAAAGGCCTGAAATTGCAATTTCATCGATAGGTATGTATATTTATTGGTACCGGACGATAATTGTAGCGGTCGAACAGTGTAAACGAGTCAACGATGGGATGGATTTCTAGTTTGTGGTTTGAGTAGTATTTTGGATGAGAGGTAATCGATTTCTAGTGTAGCGAAGCTCAGCGCTCATATTTGTATTTGTATAAGCGATAAAAAGGTTGTAGCTATAAGGCTGTTTTGTAAACGAATCGGGGATGGGCGTCCTTGGGTGTGCTCGACAACTTGAGGGACACTCCTGGGGGGTAGACTAGATCGTGTTTAGTCCCGCGTAGAGTAATACTCTCCATAGGACACAAGTTGAAATCCAAAAGAAACAAAATTGGAACAGGTCGTCTAGGATGCATTTGATGATTATGTCTTTGCTCTTGACTGCGCGTTTTTTTGAGAATTTGAAAACGGTGACTCGGATGAAAAGACTCGACATACCACGTTCGCAGTACGTGATGAATGCATCGAGGCGCACGAGACGGATATTGCGTTCCTCTTTGGCCTCATCAGCATCTCCATTCTTCTCAGAATCTGCTAGAGACCATTCCTCCCCACTATCTTTTGAGCGTTTAGTGCCTGCAATAAGTTTGCCGTCGATACTGAGTATGGCCTCTAGCGTCTCATGTGTGTTCGCCTTGCCTAATTTGACTGCGAGTTCTGGGATCTACCATTATCAGATTAGAAGTCACAATCTTCTGGGGTCTCACCAAATGAATACATATTATCAAGCATCTGTTTGTCAAAAATACAACAGACGAGAGCTTCAGCAGTCGATCCTTTGAATGAAAGCAATTCCAAGGCAAAATCAAGTTGTGATAAACGCTCCTCGGCAGATGCTATATACCACTGCACCGCTTCAGGCCATTGCTGGACATTCATCCAAAAATGCGCTTTAGGTCGGTAGTTGGGACGAAAAAGAACTGACTCGTGGATCTTTTGTCCGGGCATGATGATGCGCCCTCGTCCAAGGTGCGGCCTGCAAATGCTCAGTAGATAACCAATTAGCTGAAACTTACCACTTACAGCGCTTTAAGTGTGTTGGAGTTGAAGCAAAGATGTCCAATAGGCAATATCTCAAGTAGCCACCACGCAAGATTTGAAGGATCGGTAACTTCAGGTTTCAGAAATGATTCATTTTCATGTTTGAAAGCTACCTCGCGGGGATTGAGCAGAAGCCCCGCCTCGCGAGCTTCTTCAAGCATCCACAGGAGAGGGATGTTCCGGAAGTCATTGGGGTAACTCTTCTTCTTCCAACGTGCACCACCGCTAAAAAAACAGATCATTAAATGAGCTCCAACCGATGCAGGGGACACGTACACATCCGAATGGCTACCCGCAAACCAAACCTCCTTGATACGACCTTCGTCTGTGGGAGATGGTGCCGACACTTGATATTTATGCCAGTCTGAACGCATACCCCCGTAGACATACTCAGGTAGAAATCTCACTCGGCGCTCATCTAGCGCAAGTGCCTGGCGGAAGTAGCAAACGTGATCGCATGTATCAGTGGATGGAAAATTCTTCGTCTTCCTGACACCAACAGATGAGACGGTGTCCCTGGAAGGTTCGTCAGGAATGCTGGTACGATCGCGCTGAGGTACAACCCTCACCATACACCGATGAAATGTATGGCTACGCTTCTGGACAATCGCATTTTGAACTCCTTCGCACCATTGATATCTTTAGACTTCCCGCTATTGATAGAGCAATAGTACTGGAAGGCACTGGGAAAATCAGCAGTGTTCGAGAATAATCACCGAATGTACTCACCTTGATATCTGGCTTCCGTTTCCAGGTCTGATAAGCCCCACCTATCAAAACAATAATGAACAACAAGGATAATTGCTTAAAATTGATAAGTACCTCGTGGATCATTCCCGCCAAAGCACGGACTTGATATGCACCCCTTGAAAATCCTGACCTCATCTTTAGTGTAGCCGCATACTTGATGCAACATTCAGGAGATATACCAAACAAAAAGATTTTATCACCATCATGGTATCTATCTGAGAGCCATTCATACGCTGTCAATATATTTTCCCCGATACTACTTCAATGCTGTTACCGCGAGCCGTGAAGCGTTGAATATAGTGCACTCACTGAGCAATAGCCAGGTCCAATTTCTTTAAAATCCGCTCCACAAGCACAAAGCCTTCGGGCCTGACATCCGTTCCCACACCACTAGCGTAGTATCCTATCTGTTGTTGATCATCCTTGACGATATTGTCGTATAGTTCGAAGACATGACTGGTCTGGGTGCAGATATCCTGACATCACCAATCATCGCAAAGGCATGCGCAACGTACATCGTCCCTGGTGTTCGATGTTCCATCTACAGAGTTGAATAATTGGTAGCTGAAACAGTTTAAACCGCGCACCAATGCAGACAACCAGGTTTTTCCCTGGTTTTTTGTTACATGAACATTTACATGATGCCTGCAGTCAAACGTAAAGAACCGTGCTGCCGAGTTCTGACGGTACCTTGTATCATACCTTAAATAAACTGGAAAAATGGTGTGAAGAGGGATTGGATGGGCAGCACCCTAACATTCGGCACAGGAGTGGACGAGATTTCAGTTCGTTGCATCAGCAAGGTATTATAGCACTTCGAATAGTCACTGCTCGTGAACACGAAGAGGCCATGAGTCATTCTGCGAGCGAACCGTACGTGAGCTGCATGTCGCTGTGCTGCGCACAATACAGGAGGATATCGCACCTCTGAGATAATTACTAGTATACTGAAGAAGATCCACAGTATATTAAGATGAATATCGGTGAACGATTTCGTGCAGCAGCCCGCTCGCTAATGCTATTGTGCACAACTTTCAGAAGTTTATCATTGTTCGATAGCCAAGCAGATGAGGTTGCAGGCCGTAAGGCAAGTGTGCACGAGGCCCTTTCTGCAATATCAGAAGTACAATTACGCGCCTTGTTCAATTTCCATGAATGTCATGATGATCAAATACATCACAGTGCTAGTGCGTGTAAGTTGCAAGGGCTCTGTGTTCAATTGCAAGAACGGAGAACGCATGACGGATGGAAGTTGCTGCAAAATCTGGTACGAGGTGTTGTTCATATTGTTCATACGGCCACGATGAACGATCAGTGACTTGGTATGCACTCAAATCCATGCAAGCGTGTGGCAAAAGTAGTTTGAACGTTTACGTACTCCTGAACAATTAGTAATCAAATAATTGAAATATTGAAACACTAATTTATTTTAAAATATGGGACTCAGGGGACACATCGGGGTGAACGATATTTAAAAGAGGTTTATATGTTGTACAAAATGTGAAGACAATATTTAATATCCAAACTAACATAAAGATGAGTGCACAACTTCAAATTTTGGTGGTGTTTTATGTGTGATCCAAAATATCAAATATTCACAACCATATTCCCACAGACAATATGTCAACAAACATAAGAAATATAGTCAGATTTTTCATGTCTGCTTCAACTTAAAGTTCAATTTCCATGTAAAACTTTGGAGAAAACTTGAAGTTTTACAGATGACATGACATTAAAACTCAATTTAAATGTCAAGCTGTGGCAAAACTTCAAGTTTTCTCCAAAGTTTTATGTAAGGATCAAACTTTAAATTGAAGTGGATATGGAAAATCTGATTATATTTCTTATATTTGTTGACATATTGTCTGTGTGAATATGGTTGTGAATATTTGATATTTTGGATGACACACAAAACACCACCAAAATTTGAAGTCGTGCACCCATCTTCATGTTAGTTTAAATATCAAATATTGTTTTCACATTTTGTACAACATATAAGCCTCTTTTAAATATTGTTCACCCCGATGTGGGAGGTTCCAGCGAGATCTTCTTTCAACTCAATTGAGTGTATCATGTCCGCATGGTCTAGTAACTCAAGTACTCATTTTCATAGCTGCTGATTATAGTGATTTAGGGCGAATTGCGGTCCACGAGAACAAAATGTGCATTACATAATGTCATTGGAATTCTAGATCCCTCGTTGCCTCCAGGTCCCATTCCTACATATGGATATAGAACAGTCCATAGCCAGCACCTCGCCGCATGTCGTTCTCCTGGTCTGCAAGCAGTGCAATATAAAATGCCTCCAGGCAGACGTCTCATCATATCGTGTTTTCGTTCTTATCCTGAAAACCCACAGGACTGACTCTGAACATCGTTGTTAGCTGATTATTCTTTCCAAAGCATACGCATACCTGTGAGTTTATCAATCCAAGAGATGGGAGCATTATGCGACGTTGCCATCGACAGGTCCACACACTACCATTCTTGAGCAAACTCAGAGATGAGAAGTCCATTCAGTCAGAGTTGGCCAGAAGTGCCCAGTCCATCCCTTGCCGATATAGAAGTGCGCCAGAAAGCAGAGGCAGCTGCTGAGCAAGCCCGACAGGATGCTGCTGCTTCCAGAACACAGATTGTTGAGCTCATCAAGTCGAATCAAGAATTGCAGCAAAAGGCTTTGGAGTTTCAGCAGGCCGCCTTGCAAGCCGCGGCAGCCTCACAGGATCAGGCCCACAAGGAAATGATGGCGATGGTCCAGGCCGAATGTGCGGCTGCCAGAGCACAGGTTTCTGAGCTCATCGAGTCGAATCAAGAATCACAACAAAAGGCTTTGGAGGCTCAGCAGACCGCCCTGCAAGCCGTGACAGCCTCACAGGATCAGGCCCATAAGGAAATGATGGCAGTGGTCCAGGCCGAATGTGCTGCTGCCAGAGCACAAATTGCTGAGCTCATCGAGTCGAATCAAGAATTACAACAAAAGGCTTTGGAGGCTCAGCAGACTGTCTTGCAAGCCACAGCAGTCTCACAAGATCAGGCCCATAAGAAGATGATACCGATGGTTCAGGCCGAATGTGCGGCTGCTAGAGCACAGATTGCTGAGCTCATCAAGTCGAATCAAGAAATGCAGCAGAAGGCTTTGGAAGCTCAGCAAGCCTCCTTGCAAGCCGCAGCAATCTCACATGATCAGCTTCATAGGGAAATGATGGCGACGGTCCAGGCCGAATGTGCCTCCAACGAAGCTCGCTTACTGGTAGGAGCTGCTGCTCGTACCGCCGGAGAAGAAGCGAGACAAATAGCATCAGAAGCAGAGGACGAGCGTAAGCGAACTGCCGCTGTCCAAGAACAAGCCAAACGAGACGCCCAGGCTGCCCAGGAGCAGGCCAAGAGACTACAGGAGGCTGCTAATGAGGAAAAGAAGAGGGCGACTACCGCACAGGAGGTGGCCAACGTGTCGAAGAAAGCGGCAGAAGAGCAAACGAAGGTGGCCAATTCTGCCAAGGAGGAGGCTGAACGCAAGTTGAAAGAAGGCATTCAACCTGTGGTGACTCCCACGCCTGCAGAAGTCAGCGCCGCCAAGCAGAAAGTTCAATATCACGAGGACCTTTTCCACTTTGCAGTAGCTGGGGTGGCAGGAGGAGGGAAATCGTCTCTGATCAATGCCTTCCGCGGTTTGCGTGATCAGGACGCCGGATCTGCTGCCACTGGTGTCACCCAGACAACATTAGCCATGGCCAGATACGCCAGCCCCAACATGGAATACCCATATGTCTGGTACGATATCCCGGGCGCAGGCACGCTCACAATCTCAGACTGGCAGTACTTCAACACCCAGGGACTTTACGTCTTTGACTGCATCATCGCGCTGTTCGACAATCGGTTCACTATGACCGACATTGCCATCCTCACCAACTGCAAGCGCTTCAAGATCCCTACGTATATCGTGCGTTCTAAGGCAGATCAGCATATCCGTAACATCATGTGGGATATGGGGTACGACAGCGATGACGATGAAAACGGGGACAAGAGGAAGAAGGTTTACCAGGCTGCACGGCAGCAATTCATTCAGCAGACGCGCCAGATCGTGAAAGAGAACCTGGAGAATGCCAACATGCCCGACGAAAGAGTCTACATCGTTTCGAACGAATCGATGCTCGGTGTTGTGAAGGAAAGGCAGCCGAGGCAGGTCATTGACGAGATTGAGTTGTTGAACGACCTGATTGGAGAAGCCCAGAACAGGCGAGCACGCCGTGATGCTGAAGGGTGACTAGTACTAGTTGACTAGGCAGGAGAAGTAGTCGGTGACAATACAGTTCTTCTTGGGCTTTTTAATACTGATGCTTCGCTCTTGAGATGATGGTATCGCTCGTGACCGATCTTGACCAGACTCGCAGTCGATGGTAATGTTTCTTCCTCTAGGGCTGACATTCTTACACATATTCTTGCTGCTTGCGAACGACTGGTCTCCACACCCCACTGAATACACACATTTAAAATTGCAAGGGGTTCGCAACTGAAATTTCTGGTATGAACCTAGAACTACAGCACGAAAGATATCTCAAGACTTCTGATGCGGAGTTTTGCCCATTTGAGATAGGGGCTGATTAGAAAACCCCTCAAGGCAGCTTCACTTTTCTTCGTTGTGATCCGGTGTGAACCTATAGCACTCATTTTGAACTGACACCATTAAATTTTATTCCAGAATCATACACATCTCAGTAAGTTTCCTCAACTCGAAAGATAGAAGCCATTATGTGACATAACAATTGACAGGTCCATATCACATCGAGAATGGGAACCTGGTTCAGTCAATTTTGGCCAGAGAAGCCCAATCCATCCCTGGTAGAAATCGAAGCACGCCAGCGTGCAGAAGCGGAGGCTGAGAAGGCTCGCAAGGACGTCGAAATTGCCCAGGCGAATCAAGAATCGCAGCAGAAGGCTATGGAAGCTCAGCAAGCCGCACAGGCGCAGGCGTATCAGGAAATGACGGCGATGTTGCAGGCAGAACGCGCTGCTAGTGAAGCTGCACAGGCGCAGGCTCACAAGGAGATGATGGAGATGATCCAGGCCGAACGCGCTGCTAATGAAGCTCGCTTGAAGGCGGAAATTGAAGCTCATGCTTCCCGTGAAGAAGCGAAGCAGAGAGCAGCAGAGGCAGAGAATGGGCGTAAGCGAGCCGCCGCCATACAAGAACAAATCGAAAAAGAGACTCGGGCTGCCCAGGAGCATACCAAGAAGCTAGAGGAGGCTGCCAACGAGGAGAAGAGGAAGGCAGAGGTGGCCATCGCACAGGCGGAGGCTGATAAGCAGATGATGGAGATGATCCAGGCCGAACGCGCTGCCAATGAAGCTCGCTTGAAGGCGGAAATTGAAGCTCATGCTTCTCGTGAAGAAGCGAAGCAAAGAGCAACAGAGGTAGAGGAGGAGCGGAAGCGAGCCGTCGCCTTGCAAGAACGAATCAAAGAAGAATCTCAGGCTGCCCGGGAGCATACAAAGAAAATGGAGGAGGCTGCGAAAGAGGAGATGAGGAAGGCAGAGGAGGCGGCCAATGCGTCGAAGAAAGCGGCAGAGGAGAAACTCAAGGAAGCAAATGTTGCCAGAGAGGAGGCCGAAGGCAAGCTGGCTCAAGGAATTCAACCTTTGGTGACTCCTACACCTGAAGAAGTTAGCAACACAAAGTCGCTAGCTAAATATTGCGAAGACCTTTTCCACATTGCAGTTGCCGGGACTGCAGGAGGAGGCAAATCCTCCCTCATCAATGCCTTCCGTGGCTTGCGCAATAATGATACCGGAGCTGCTCCCACTGGTGTCATTGAGACAACGACGGACATAGCCCGATGCCGCGATCCCAACCCGGACTATCCGTATGTCTGGTACGATGTTCCGGGCGCAGGCACACTTAAAATCCCAGATTGGCTGTACTTCAATTCCCAAGGACTTTACATTTATGATTGCATCATCGTCTTATTCAACGATCGCTTCACAGCGACCGAGATCGCTGTTCTTACCAACTGCAGGCGTTTCAAGATCCCCACGTATATCGTGCGCTCCAAGGCAGATTCGCACATCCGAGACATCATGAAGGAAGAGGGGTATAACAGCGACGACGACGGCGGGGATAAGAAGAAGCAGCTTTACCAAGCTGCAAGCCAGAAGTTCATTCAGCAGACGCGGCAGAACGTGAAAGACAATCTGGAGAATGCAAAGATACCGGACCAAAGGGTTTACATCGTTTCGAACGAAACGATGCTCGGTGTCGTGAAGAAAGAGCGGCCGAGGAAGGTCATCGACGAGATTGAGCTGTTGAGTGACTTGATTTGGGTAGCTCAGGCCAGGCGCCTAGGGTGCAGTGAA